CTCTGGTTTGAGGGAGAGACATAGGCAACCACTAGTGACCGAGCGAGAGGATGGATCACGTGACAAATCGACCTCCAGTGAATCCATCCCGTGACAAATGGATCACTAGTTGCTCCTCCTAGTGGTTCCCCTAGATTTGGTGAGTGGATCGATCCCGTGACAAATCGATCGCTAGTGAATTGACGCCATGACAGATTGATCACTAGTTGCTCACCACCCGCGGTTCACAACCACCTATGTCACACGACTCCATTCAATCCAACGATTCACGGTAGCTAGTTAGGGGGAAGCAACTCCTGGGTGAAGCTCCCTTAGTTAGAATTTTCCTTTATTTACCTTTCTTTGCTTGGTTGGTTTGTAGTTCCAATAAACCTAAACCCTAAAGTTACTTGCTAAATAACAACTTAAGCGATCGAAGTAGGGGTACATGGATCGGCCCGGGTTGACAATTTAAATACTTGCTCTATATTGCACCCGACTAGAGTTTAAAAACTTGGGCTCTAGTCGGGATTAATTTGTGGTGTAGTTTCGTGCGAGTCAATTGGTATTACTTTTTAAAACTATTAATGCAACGATATTGTTATGCAAACTGTAAGTGACCAGTTTTTTGAAAGTTTTAGTTTGGTTAATCGTTAAATCCTAAATTTCTTGATAATATGGCATGATTGGAAAAATGGGTGAGTTTAAAAGAACACAATTTATGAATACCAATTTGTATAGATGATTTCAATAGAGTAATTGACTAGATGTATCATTTATAGTTACTTAGTTTAATATGAAATAACGCAGTACAAGACAAATCATGAAAGTCTTGTTGGAGTTTTCATGGACGCGCTGACGGGGCATATGCATTAGCAAGGTAGGTACCACAAGATATGTTTTCATTTTTGTTGAGTGAATAAGATTTTCCTTCAACTAAATTTAGAGTATCTTGGTTGATAATTAATTTTTTCATTGCATAGAGTATGGATGGAAAATGTTATTTTCTTGCTAATTTTGTTATTATATTGTGCAGAATACTTTAAGGTTTAGATACTGCTATATATGTATTGTTCAAGCAAAAGAAATAAATATTCACTAAAGGTTATCATCATGGGTTTCCTATTTATGCTATGATTTTTCAGACAAACTCTTTTTTTGTTATGTCAATTTTCTTTTCAACCATAGGCAACTAAGTAACTACATCATTAAATAGACAAGTTATGAATAGTTATTCACAAGTGTTATAACCAAGGTTGTGACACCTCTACCAGGCGACTGGTTGGACTAGGTACGACCAAAGTCGTGCTCCAAAACAGGCTCTACAAAATCAAGGGTCTGATCATTAGAGAGGGAGAAGAAGAGAGAGGCAAGAGGGAGGGGGGAGAGAGGCAAGGGGATGGTGGATGGATATTGAGATAGATATGTTTTTTCTATGAAATTTGACTATTTGAGTTTTTAATAGATAGAAGTTAGTACATTCTATTTCAATCAATAAATTTCTATCTAATGTGTAAATATATTTAGAAAACGTGTAAAACAGCTCAAACGGGTTGAACCTCAATCAAACCATTAAACTTCAAACCACTTGCTTGACCGACTTAAGGACTTAAACCGGTTTGATAACTTTGATTATAACCATTAAGATTACAATGTTCACCATTGATGAAAAGTTATAAGAATTTCGGAAATGAAAAAATAATTGTGATGTCACCTTGATGTCATACAAAATTTAGCATTTCAATTAATTTAAAAAATTTAAATACACATCATAAATACATTGTGTTCAAATGACATTCCGACCAACGGGTCAGACAACAAGCTAGTTGTATAGAGGGTTGTGGAGGAAAAGAAATCAACTCTTATTGTTTCGTATTACAAGGTTGTGTTGATGTTCTATAGAAGCCTCAAGATGATGAGTTTATAATTGACTTTGCAACATCTGTGGGTTTTTCATATTACAAGCTTTCTCGACCCATTCTATCATGATTTGCATCAATATCTACATGTATTTTTTTCTCTTTTGACCTTTCTAAAACAATTTTTTCTTCTTAAAAATATTTTAAGACTCTATCTTTCAACTATTTATGCCCAATTATTCCTTCCACATCTCTCATTCATTTTGAAGTGTTTTTCTCTATATCTTATTGTAAAAAAATTAAATATTAACTTTCTTTTTTCAAGTAACATATAAAATGAGTTGACATGTCCTGCCCTATACCCGTGCGGATATTACACAATAACGCCATACAGTATAAGAGAAGATAACCCCACCAACCATTTCCCTAGGTTTCTAGCGAAGAGGGTCATCATTTTATTTACCACGAGGCCTAGAAATGAAATATGGGCCGAAGTATCAAGCCCACTAATATGTCTACAAGTCGATATACAGCAACAACACTCCAGCATGCATTTCAGACAGATCGTCAGGGATGGCAATTTCGACATGACCCGTTTTACCCGACCTGTTTGGTCTATTTTGCAGCGGGTCTGACCCGTCCGTAGGCGGGGTAGGGCATGCATGAGTACTCTCATCGACCCGACCTGCCCTGACCCGCTCCATTATGGACTCGTTCTTGCCTAAATTACATGTAATCTTAGTCAAATTACTCATGATTTTCCTTTTATTACATCATATTTTAGCTATAATAAAGTTGTAAATTAATGAAATCTCAATCTATCCAATAATTTAATTACATTTATTATAGTTTGTTTTCTTCGTCTTATAATGAAATTAACGAATATTTCTAATATTTTTCATATAAATTGCATCCTCATTAGGTCGACCTGTCCCGACCCACGACCCATGGTAAATTACCCGACCTGCCACAGGGCTGGTATGGGTATCGTGATACCCGCCTCGGACCTGTCTCATTCCCATTCCTACTTGTCTGAATGCAATCCGATGCGGCTCCACCCACAGTAGGCTTGGCAACGGGGCGGATCGGGCCCGCGTACCCTGTATCTGTTCCCTGTCCACCATGGGCTTGGGTTTCCCCGTCCCCAACCCAAACGTTGATACGGGTCTGGCAGTGGCACCAGTCCCGTTACCGCTGGGTTTTCGGGTGCCCACGGGTCTAAGATACCCGCTACAATAAAATAAAAAAACTTAATAAATGAAAAAAACATGAACATGTAACTTTATTATGAATAAATGATAGTCTGAATTCTGAAACTGTCATCAACAAGAACTCATGAACTCAACAAAGTTGCAATCAACAACAACTTTAAATCATCCGAACTTGAAATCAACAAAAAAAAACATCCATTCTCAGCACCATGATTGCCGAGTCTTATTCAAAAGCAAGAACAACTAGCTAACTAAGGTAAAACAAACTCCAAGCCATCATAACTGTTGAGAGCAAATGTAACAACAGCCTTCCTTCAAGCAAGATGCAGCTTCAAGCCATCCTAACTTTGGCCGAGTCTTTTTCCAAAGCAAGTAACAACAGTCAACATTCATCAATTGCAAGTCTGCACAAACATTCAAGAAATCATTCTTATTTCTGAAGTTCCTAATCCTCACAATCAACAACAACCTCGAGGTTCTTGCAACACAAGAGAATGATTTGAAGTTATACCTGGCTTGACAAATTCAAATGGATCAGTCTTCCTAGCCAAATGGTGATCTCAAGAACACCATTTATGGACCTGAAAACCAGGTAGCAAATCACATTAGTTCAGCCTCAAATCTCAATGAACAAAGTTAGAATATTTAGAAAAGGAGAAGTGATTTTCTTACCCCCAGCTTCTGCCTCCTTCACAGTCGTATCTTCGACTGATAGGGTTTAGAAGACCCCCTCCAATGCCTCCACAACAGCAGCAGCCTCCGAATCTGCAGATAGAAATGTAAAAATATTATTTACACTTAAACAAAATTAGTTGTACTAGAATTTGAAGGTTTAGTTGCATGTCTTCCATAATCCAACTTCGTGTGCACATCATTGATTCAACAATTGAATAATGAAGCCTGCTCCGGTGAGGGTCTAAAAACCTCCCACCAGAAGTGAATGCACTTTCATAAGCAATAGATGTAATTGGGATTGCTAGAAAGTCCCTTGCAATTGCTTGCAAGGTGGGATACTTGAGACCATTCAGTTTCCACCATAAGAGCAGATCAAAGTCTTCTGGCCGAGTAATAATTTCCTCAGCAAGATACATATCCAACTCAGTAATAATCAAAGAACTCTTGCTCTTTTTCCTTTTACTCACAAAGAGCTCAAAGTCAAGTTTAGTAGCAGAGACAGATCCAGAACTAGCAGAAGAAGTTCCAGTTTCAGAACCAACCTTCTTCTCGGCTTTGGTTTGATAATCAAGAATCAAACCACAAATAATCTTCTTGATATTCTTACCAACCAAGTCAGTTTCCGTATTCCCAAACTTCCCAGCATAGTATCAATCACATGGAGCTTATATCTAGGATCTAAAACAACTAAGACAGCAAGTACAAGATGGATATTATCCCAGTACTTATCAAACTTCTCAGACATTTGACTGGCCATTCCAAAAAATCACAGGGTTGGGATCAAGACCCCACTCATTCAGTTTCAATCTCAAGTCACAAATCTTTGGGAAGAAAAGATTGGCAGTCGGATACTTGGAACCAGAGAATAACTGAGTTATCTCAGAGGATATTTCCAGCTTATCAATCACAACAGATGCAAATTCCCAATGCGAACTAGGAGGAACATATGTGTATTGACTGTCCCTCAAGCTCAAACGAAAGAAAACATCAACAGAGAGCATATGGTATGTGGAGTTCCATCTAGTTGGACAATCAAGTACCAGTTTTTTCTCAAATGTAAACTTTAGTTGCTTAACAACTTCGAAGAAGATTTGAACCCTCTTATGTGTAGAATTCCAGTAAACTACACTCTCCCTAATCAAATGAATAGCATTTTTGATTGCATCCAAACCATCCCTCACAATCAAGTTCAAAATATGAGCTGAACACCTCACATGAATCAGTTTACCATCAAGCACCAGATCACTGGTCACAAGCTTATTTCGCATATGAAATATCATTGAATCATTGGTGGTGAATCAAACAACCTATCCACTAGCCTTTGACTAGTGTGAGGGGCTGGAACATACATAAACCTCAACATTATGTTACGAAGCTTCCAAGAGTTGTCAATAAAGTGACTAGTTACTACCATATACCTCATTTTCTGATTTGTGGCATTCCACAAATCAGTAGTCACTGAAATCCTGCCCAAGTTTCCATCAATCATGGTTTGATATTTAGACCTTTTAACCCCATACAGACTCAGAATATCCTTTTTCACCGTGTTTGTACTAGGGACAACAAATTGAGGTTGAAGAGAACAACAAAAATGATTGAAACCCACATGATCAACAAGACTAAGGGGGTACTCATGAACCAGAATCATCGAACAAAGTTCCTTCCTAGAAACCTCATAATTGTATTGAGAAGCAGAGAGTTGAGGATTTCCACCAGGTTGATAGTTGGGGCCAAGTATTTTTTGAGAACCATCATGTATCCTCTTATGGATGCATGTTTTGATATGGTTTCTCAGGTGTGAAGTTCCATTACTTGTTTCCCCACCAAGGGGTTTACGACAGTACTTACACCTAACTTTCATTACCCCATTAATCCTAACTCTGTGGAAGTGAGGCCACACATTAGATGTTAACTTACGTTGTGCTTCCAGTTCTTCCTCATTACCATTAACTGGAATATTTGGAACAAGACCAGGTTGTTAAGGTTGGACTTGGACACCTTTTTCAGGGACATGTTGATCAACATTCATAGCATTAGCAGTAGCACCTTCCATCTAAACACAATCAAGTTATATTCTGATTAGACCTTCATTTTACTATTTTCTTACTTAAATGGACAAGACTTCTTCTAACCAGCAAACAAGACACCATTTTCAACAATTTCACCATTACAGTTTACGTCTTCTAACTAAGTTCTTATCATTAGCAAGCAAGCCATAGTCATAACAAGTCAAAGCAACACAACAAACACAATGGTTACTGGCTACTTGTTAGGACTTAGGGGAGGAGAACGAGATTACCTTGTCTTTGAGTTTTTCTGAGGACTGTCGAGTACCCAATGACAGTAGACTGATCACTGATGATCACTATCACTCGCTCAGTTGCTCTACAAAGTTCAGTCCTTCAATACCGATTCAAACGAGTCCAACCTGGCAAAAAAAGAGTGAACAATGAACAAAAACAAAGTTAGAACAGGATGACAAGCATGCATGTCTGTATTAACACCACAAACCAAAGAAAAGTCGACGAGTTCAAGATCCTTACCCGGAAAAAGACTTGGACTCTGTCTGGATGCTCGTCGCAATCTCTTTGTCTCTGCTATTTGTGGAATGGGTGCTCTGGGTAGAAATTTAGAGAAGGTGAGGATGGTGACTGACGAGGAATGACCTCTGAAATCCCCCCTATATATAGCAGTACGAGAGTCAAGAGTCAGTAGAGATTTTGATTTGAGGATACAGCGAAGATAATCGAAAGAAAAGAAAAGAATCCAGAATTAACTTATCTATTATCGACGAACAATCAGGGATTTTAACTCCAAACGACTCGTTTTTGGGCTGTGCTCGACGAAATAGACATCGGATGGTTGCTCTTCCAGCCATGCGATTGGTCGAATGGAGGAATCGAAAATAGATCTTAGTGAAACTAGGAGAGATTCGAAGATTTGGTGAGGAGAAAAGGCAAATAATCGTGATTATCTTGTGATCTGATCGCTAATCGCGAGAGAGGAGGCAGAGAAACAGAAGGAAACTAGGGTTTGGGAATTTTGGTCTGCGAAATGAAGAATGAGTAATGAGGGACGATTGCTAGGGTTTCTCAACGCAAAACACTACATATACGGGGGCGAAACGACGTCGTTCTGTTGCACGGGTAATTCGCTGGGCGGGTTTCGGGGCGGATAGTCGACGATCCGGCCCCACCTTCAATCCAGGGTTGACGGATCTCGGGTTCCCCGTCACCCATTGACAGGCCTTTGCTACCAGCCCGCTTGGGCCTTCTCGGACGGGTATCCGCTAACGGCCCGGCCTGCCATTAGGGGTGGGCATTCGGTCGGTTCGGTTTCGACCGAACCGAAATTATGAATACAGGGTCCCCGAAGTCTCCCAAACCTCAAACCGAATTCGAACCGAATTATAATTCGGTTCGGTCGGTTTTTCACACAAAACCGAATTTGTGAAGCTATGTGTATTTTCTCACTTTTAAATTATGTTTCACCCATAATATAAACAATAAATATCAATTATATGCATCATCAATGATAAAACCAAACTTTTCAACACATAAGTCATAAAAAATTTCAAATATTTAAGTCTAAAAACAACTACAAACATAAAAATCCACCATTTGAAGCTTGCAATTATAGTATTTCGGTTTTTCGGTCGAAAATTTGAAAATTCGAATCGGTTGAAAGAACCCTGATTTCCGAACTATCCATATTTCCTTCCGAATTCCGAACCGAATAACATTAATTCGGTTTCGGTTCGGTTCAGGTTTACCGAACCGTTTGCCCACCCCTACCTGCCATCCCACAGTATCTTATCGTGACCGCCATCCCATTCGTCCACGTGGACACTAGGGTTTTGGGGTATATAATTCCTAATCAGCAATCCCCTTTACACTCGGCCGCCTCCTCGAACAGTGCAAGAGAAGAAGAACTCCGACCATCGTTCCTTCTTCCTCCACCGTCCTCCGTACGGGCAAAGGACCACCGACCACCGGCCTTCGTAAAGGATAAACTAACTGGGAGCTCCGGAAGGATTGGGACTGTCTGCTTCTCTCGTCATGCCCTTTACCCGCCGGTCATAAATCGCAGGTGGGGTTTTCTTTTTTCCATCAGTTACTTTTTGACTTCACTGAATTTCAACTCGTCTTGGTTCCCTTCTTGCTTGTTTTCATTCTCCATCTGGGTTTGTTCGTCGATGGATCCCTCTTCGTGGCTTTGATTTGGTCTTGATGTGCGCTCTGTGCGTGATGGGGATTCCCTTCCCGCAGTCTGCCTTCAAATCTTGGACTCGTTGGTGCTCTTGAGTTGACTCACTTGGCTGATTCCTCTCTGCAGTATTCGTAGATTCTGTGAAATGGCGGCGGAGAGTGGGAAAAGCTTGAAAAGGAGGGACCACCTCTTGGAGATCGAGGCAAAGGCTAGAAGCTGGTGGAATGAGGCAGACGTCTTCAGAGCGGAGCCATGTGAAAAGCCTCCTCAGCCCGGGGAGAAGTTCTTTGGCAATTTTCCGTTCCCCTATATGAATGGCTATTTGCACCTTGGCCATGCTTTCTCTCTCTCGAAACTGGAGTTTGCTGTTGCTTATCATAGGCTGAGGGGTGCCAATGTGCTTCTTCCGTTTGCTTTCCACTGCACCGGCATGCCCATAAAGGCGTCTGCTGACAAGCTTCGCCGTGAAATTCAACAATTCGGTAACCCTCCTGTGTTCCCTGGTCCCGGTGATGCTGAGCCAGAAGAACCAAAAAAACCAGAGCAAGTGAATGAGAATGTATCTGGCCAACCTGATAAATTCAAGGGGAAAAAGTCCAAGGTAGCATCAAAAGCCGGCGGGCAAGTGTTTCAGTGGGAGATCATGCGTAGTTTTGGGCTGACGGATGAAGAGATTGCAAAGTTTCAGGATCCATACGAGTGGCTAAGGTTCTTTCCGCCGTTGGCTATGGAGGATCTCAAGGCTTTTGGCTTGGGTTGTGATTGGAGGCGATCTTTTGTTACCACAGATATAAATCCCTACTTCGACAGCTTTGTGCAGTGGCAAATGAGGAAGCTATATGCGATGGGTAAGATTGTGAAGGACGTTAGATACACGATTTACTCTCCTTTAGATGGCCAGCCTTGTGCTGATCACGACAGGGCATCTGGTGAAGGAGTTCTGCCCCAGGAGTATACCCTCATAAAAATGGAAGTTTTAAGGCCATTTCCTCCAAAGTTAGGGCCTCTGGAGGGGAAAAATGTTTTCCTAGCTGCTGCTACTCTGAGGCCCGAGACTATGTATGGGCAAACGAATGCCTGGGTGTTGCCGGATGGTGAATATGGAGCTTATGAGATTAATGAAACTGATGTGTTTGTCATCACAGGCCGTGCTGCCCTTAACCTAGCATATCAGAACTTCTCAAGGATCCCTCAGAAGCCTACTTGCTTGATGGAGCTGACTGGTCATGACCTGATTGGTCTTCCTTTGAGATCTCCTCTTTCGTGTAATGAAGTTATATACGCTCTTCCTATGTTGACCATCCTAACAGACAAAGGTACTGGAATTGTCACCAGTGTGCCTAGTGATGCCCCTGATGATTATATGGCTTTGCATGATCTCAAAGCAAAACCGGCTTTCAGGGCCAAATATGGGGTGAAGGATGAGTGGGTTATGCCCTTTGAAATACTGCCGATAATCAACATTCCGGAGTTTGGGGATAAGGCTGCTGAAAAGGTCTGCATCGATCTGAAAATTAAGAGCCAGAACGAGAAGGAGAAACTCGCTGAAGCTAAACGGCTCACGTACCTCAGAGGGTTTACTGAGGGAACTATGCTTGTGGGAGAATATGCAGGGATGAAAGTTCAAGAAGCAAAACCATTGCTTCGAACCCAACTGATCGAGACAGGCCAAGGAATTATGTATAGTGAGCCTGAAAAGCGAGTCACTTCAAGATCAGGTGATGAATGCGTAGTGGCACTTACTGATCAATGGTACATAACTTATGGAGAAGCAGAATGGAAGAAACTAGCCGAGGAATGCCTGAGCAGTATGAACCTCTATTCTGATGAGACACGGCATGGCTTTGAACACACTTTGAGCTGGCTGAATCAGTGGGCGTGCTCAAGATCATTTGGTCTTGGGACTCGCATTCCATGGGACAAGGAATTCCTTGTCGAATCCTTGTCTGACTCCACCATTTACATGGCCTACTATACTGTTTCACACTTCCTGCACAACGATGACATGTATGGTACGAACAAACATCCAATTCAACCTTCGCAGATGACTGACGAAGTTTGGGAGTTCATCCTCTGTGGTGGTCCATACCCTAATTCCTCTGGTATACCAGCAGCTGTACTCGATAAGATGAAGATGGAATTTGACTACTGGTATCCATTTGACTTGCGAGTCTCGGGCAAGGACCTTATCCAGAATCATTTGACCTTCTCCATATACAACCATGTAGCAATCATGGATAAAAAGCACTGGCCACGTGGATTCAGGTGCAATGGCCATATCATGCTCAACTCCGAGAAGATGTCCAAGTCGACTGGCAATTTCAGAACGTTGAAACAGGCAATTGAGGAATTCTCAGCTGACGCTACGAGATTTTCACTGGCTGATGCTGGAGATGGTGTCGACGATGCTAATTTCGTCTTTGAAACCGCCAACTCGGCAATCCTTCGGCTCACCAAGGAGATCGCCTGGATGGAAGAAGTTCTGGCTGCTGCAGAATCATCCTCTCTTAGGGAGGGCGCTCCTTCAACTTATGCTGATCGCGTGTTTGAGAATGAGATAAACATTGCAGTCAAGATGACCGAAGAGAGTTACAGCAATTGCATGTTCAGAGAGGCATTGAAGACCGGATTCTACGATTTACAAACTGCCAGAGATGAGTACAGATTCTCGTGTGGCAGTGGAGGTATGAACCGTGACCTGGTTTTCCGGTTTATGGATGTGCAGACTCGCCTCATCACTCCAATTTGTCCACACTACGCTGAATACGTATGGAGGGACCTTCTAAAGAAGGACGGGTTGGCAGTGAAAGCTGGTTGGCCCACTGCAGGTTCTCCTGATCTGAAGTTGAAGGCAGCCAACAAGTACCTGCAGGAGTCCATTGTTCTAATGAGGAAGTTGCTCCAGAAGCAACTTTCTGGGCCAAAGAAAGGAAACAAGAAAGACACTGCACCAGTTACTGCTACCTCAGATAACAAATTGACAGGTTTGATATATGTCAACGAAATGTTTGATGAGCGGAAATCAGAATGCTTGAAGATACTCCAAAGCAAGTTTGATGGCAATACTCGGAAGTTTGCACCCGACAGCGAGATATTGCAGGCATTGCAGGCGAGCCCACTTTTCCAGGGTTCGAACGTCAAACAGTTCCAGAAGCAGTACATGCCGTTTGTGAGGTTCAAGAAGGACGAAGCAGTTGCAATTGGTGTTCAGGCGTTGGATCTGAGGCTACCTTTTGGAGAGATTGAAGTTCTAAGGGAGAACCTGGAGCTGATCAAGCGACAGCTCGGTCTTGAAGTTGTTGAAATTTTATCAGCCTCAGATCCTAACGACAAGGCTCGAGCTGGCTCCCTTGCCTCTGTCTTGGAGCAGAATGCTCCCTCCCCTGGAAGCCCCACGGCCATCTTCTTGACCAGGTTAGAAGAAGAATTTCAAATTGAATAGCGGCAGCTACCTTTGGCTTTTGTTTTTCTCATTGCACTTAAGGAACTTGAAGTGGTTTCTTACTGTTGAATCTTTTGTCTTTCCATATCTAGGTAGCAAAGTTCCAGAGGTGGAACAAAGTGATTGCTTGGGCAATGCTGGATACAAATACGAGTGAATGCTGCCAAGAGGTGACAGTAGTTTGAGTTTGATCTGTTAATGAATTTTTGAATCATGCCTTCTTTTTGCTGCTGTTTTGTTCTGAACCTGAACTGTATTCCACTGTTATCTCATATTAGACCATTTTGAAGTTTTCCCTACTGTTATGCAATGAAATTTCGCGCGGAAGAAGTTAGTGGTCTGCACTGCTGGTTTGTTGGTTTGTTTGGTAATGAATTGTGTTTCCTTCTGGGGGAGAAATGGGACGATCTTGTGTTAATAGTTATTTCTCTAAGTAGTTGGAGTGTCTTTCCTGTTTGGTTAACAGAATCGAAACCATGTAAAAACCGAAAACTGAAGTAGTATATTTTTTTTATGAGGGATTCGAACTTGATACCTTCAGGCTCATGACCCGTGGTAGTACGACTAGAGACCATGCCCTAAACCAAAATCTCTGCATCCCCCAATTAAAACGGCACCCCTTCCACATGGCACCACAACTATTGTAAGATAGCAACTGGGTTGGCACCGAAAACTCTATAAATTTTCATATGCATGTGTATACAAATCACACTCCCTTTACGTCTACGTCTTCCTGGTCTTCTCTTTAACCATAACCAAGGCAAAGAAATACCATTATATATATATATATTCCATCATCAACCCCTGTAAACCCAGATGCAAAAGTTAAGCAACACAGCAAGTGACGATCGAACACACTCTATCTAATTCATTCATCACTGAACCATAAACGAATTACCTGCACCTGACGCGCGGAGACCTCCAGTCAAAAGAAACCCCACTCCTCTCCTCCATCGGAAACTTAGCAAACCGCTTCCAGTCGTCAAGCACGTTCCTCAGGTCGTGCACTTTCGTCTGCAACCCGACGCAGCAGTTGGCGTGCATGGTGATTGCGACGTTGAGGTCTTTAACCGGCTGGCAGAAGCCGCCGAAGTAGGCCGTGTCGAGGAACCTCATCCGCAGTCCGTCAAGAAAGGGGTCGAACTTGATCTCGTTGAACACGTCCTGGTCGTGCTTTCCAGGGAACCTGTCCTTGGAATTGTACCAGTACTTGTAGAAGTGGAGTGTCCGGTGGTTGGATCTGGCGTAGACGAAGCCGCCGTTGGGGATGTTGTGGCGGTCGGAGGCGCTGCCGAGGTAGGTGTCGCAGGCGATTTGGAAGTCGGCGTCGTCGTGGAAGTGAGGGAATGGGTTCCGAAACCACAGTATGTCTGCGTCCTGCATGCATTCAAGCGTGCAGGCGGTGAGGATTCTTGGGATTTTCCCGCTTACTAAAAAAAACTCTCACAATACCATGAATAAATTAAAATTTCCGAAGCTACATTATTCATTAATAGTATGTGGTGGCTCGCTGTAGCTTTCATACGGTTTTGGTATCGGTTCGCTGGAGATCAAAGCGATTTCACCCATACTGTGGCCAACTAATTAAAGTGATCAATGTATATCGCGGCCACAACACATGCGATCTAGCTGTAAAATCTCGACCAACTCCAACGATTTGCACCTTACATACGTCAAACCTTCAAGAAGTTGTAACTTCGGCTTGAAAAGTTATGCGGAATCAAAAAAGTAAATTCACTTCAGATGGATAATCGAGCACAAAGTTACGTTCATTTAAAATTTTGATGCATGTTGGATGAAAATCGTTGGACATAATAGCAAACCATTGTTGAAATGTAATGAAATATTAATGGTCAACGAACAAAGTATGAGAGAACGGATGCGTTAAGGATCAGATTACCGTGAAAACGAAGTCGAACCCGTGACGCAAAACAGAGGCCAGGAAGTCGATGCGACGCCACATCATGAGCAAGTACTCCTCCGTCATGAAGAAGGCATCTCCGGTGAAGTTGACGCCCGGAGTCGCCATTGCATAACAGTGTCGGTGTATCTCCCGGCAACGCTGATGGGCCTTGTGATCCAATGAGACGATCACCAAATTGTCCATCAGTTGTTGTGTTCCATTCCCGGCCCTAAAGCTCTCCAGAAACAGGTCCAAGATCGACCCTGGCCCGGCCCATGCTGAGTTTAACGTCGTCAGGATCACCGTTTTCGACGGTATTGATGATCCCCTGCTTGTTGTTAGGGTACTTGCTCGCCGCAGGACTTTGATGAGCTCTTGATCGTCGTCACTTCTCACCTGCGTGTCGCCGATCTGCCAAGCTTAATATTTTCTAAGTCGCTAAAATACAATAGACATTACGTTATGATTTGTATATTTTACGTAATAATTGTAAAAAGTTATTATGAAAGTTTTATCTAATGAATATTAACCTTATTTTACGTAAAGTATTTAATATAACGCTTTTGATTAAACAGTTACTTTAGAATAAGTATATGGTTCTATAATCTTAATATGGTTATGGATGTATATTTCATGTAACAGTTGAAAAGTGTTATTAGATAAGTTTTATGTAATCTGACGGTACTTTTATCTAACATAGTTAGTAAAATATAGTACGGGAAAGTTACGTAAAAAATACGTACGGGTATTTTACGTTGTCTGTAAGCTAATGTTACGTTTAGTAGTACGTTAATAGTCATAAATACATAAAAATAAATTATTTTAAAAATAAATAAATATATAAATAATAGTAAAGTTCACAATTTAATTCATTAAATACGGATATTAAACGTGTTATACGGGTTTTATACGTGTTTAGTACGGGAGCCATCAAATGAATGAAAAAAAAAACAACTTGACAATAATACATATACGGAAGTTTTAAACGGATAAAATACGTACGGGTACATATACGTGTATTAAACGGAGTATTTACTAACTATGTTATCTAATGAATATTAAAAGGCAAGAAAGCGGCGGCCGATGGGGGGAGAAAGAAAGGTAAGGAACTCACCGTCGGCGATGAAAGGATCCCAACGGAGTAAGGGGCGGAAGGGTAGATCGACTCATGGACGACAAGGAAGCACAAGGCGACCCAGAAGCAAACCGCGGCTGACATTTTCACCTTACTTAGCCTTCGGACCAGAAATACGCCTTCGCCGCCGGGGGAAGAAAAAGAAGACTTTGAGTCGTTGCTGGTGCGTCTCAAGGTTTCCCTGACGTGATGATGTTCACCATTATCGCTGCCCGGAAGCTCCTCGCTCAGCGTTGTCATTTCTGCCATTTTGAACTCCAGGAGGAAAAGCTGATGTTCAGGTTATTATATATATCACCTGTATGTATAAACTGGCCAGCCGTCCACTTCACTTCCGAGCGAGTGGAACAGCCGTCTCCGGCAGGCAACCGTCCTCGGGGGATGTATGCATATGCAGTGCAGTGGTTACTATCACTTGGAGTAGCTGAATCTTGAAATGATTCGTGTCATTGGGTGTTTCCGTTCACGACGCTGGCTTTGCGACGTCGACGACACTACGTACATCGAGGACGATTAGTGATAGTCTGGTGGATATGATTTTAACAGAATCTCTCTAACTCTATGTTGATATGACTTGAATCGGACTATCAGCCGCTACGACTGGTAATCGGGGGTCTCGCTGTAATCGTTTCCTTGTCAGATTGGATTAGGTTTAGACCCACATGGAAAAGTGCTATAAATACTTCTCGACCCACATGGAAAAGTGCTATAAATACTTCTCATACTCCTCTGTAATCTGTAATCTCCTTGATATAGTGAAATCGGCTCTCTCTCGCCCGTGGACGTAGCTAACACACATCGTGTTAGTGAACCACGTAAATCGTGTGTCGTGTTTTCGATTCTCGCTTTCGTATTCTTGCTTTGTCGATTCCGGCGATTTCCCGATCCGTAGCAGCGCGTTTATAACACTCTACTTACGGTTTGATATAATGCCATGGCCAATGGTGGAGTCATTGTCATGGAGGTAGTTGAGCTTTAATTTCTTACACTTAATTATCTGAGTAAAACTGCAAGTACGTACCCTAGCTAGCTAGGTTTGAATTTGATTAACTTGATGAAAGCTGCAGATCAAGTGATCTCTCATCAGTTGACAAGTAACTGTATAAACGCAGAACTTGTGTAAACCATGCGTGATTGGAGTAACCACACGCATTGTCAAGAACCAATTGATTCCAATAACTCGAGTTGTTGAGAGATATTCAATCGTGGATCATATACCACAACACTAACACGCATGACGTTGTGAGAGTGACCCGGAAGTTTGGGTTGGTAGGGATGACAATGAATCTGGTAGTGAGGATCCGTTTTTATTTTATCAACCCATATATATATAGAGGAGCATATATGTGGAAACTGCCACGTCAGCCTGCAAAACATTGAGGGATTTACGGAGGGGTGTTTTTGTCAAACCGCAATGTCAGTTCAGAGACAAAAAAGTGAAAATGGGCTAACAAAAATTGTTCCTGCTAGCGCCCAAAGATAGACTCATAGCTATATATTAATAAAAATTTGGGCGTGTCAATTTGGGCCGATTGAGTTCACACTGCAACAAAAATGCAACCGAAATAAATTTGAGCCCGTATCTATACATTACATCTATCTTGCTTAAACCTTAAAGTCCTTCTTGCTTCTCTCTACCCTCCCTTTCTCCTAAACAATTCTCCCCAATTTCTGGACACGGTTTCTCCGTAGAAGAGGCCCAGCTTCCAATCTCCCGCAGCGATACGATCCCAATCGCCGCAGGCCATTCCAATCCTCCGGCAGACCGTCTTAGTACAAACTCATTCATGGAGTCCAACAAATTTCCCCCCAATTTTTGAATGTGATTATCGCATACCAGAGTCCCGCTTCGCTTCCCCAATGGTGCGAATCAAAGTGCATATATGAAGTTTGCCACATCAGCGGTTCCAAAGCAATACGTAATTTTCGAAAGGGTATTAGTGTCAATGAACACATATGAAGTTTGAATTATTCCCTACTGCTCAATCAATTTGCCATCAAACTTTGATATAGTCTTTCATTAGTTATAATTTTCCCGAATTTTGAAAATTTCAAAGTGAACATGAGTATAAGAAATCATTAATTTATAAACTTAATTCTTAAAATAAGTCTTAAATGTTCTATAAAATGAGACAACTTTACAATAATAAAGGACTGAGTGCTTTAGAAGTATTTAGTACGCAAACAGGCTCTAACTGGGTGCTAAATAGAATTTGGCCAAGAATGTTTATCAAGATTCAAGTGCGCCAAATGAATAGCTGAATGGTCCCGTGTTAACGTTTTTATGTGTTAAATATGTGACAATCGTCACTTACATGTGTTGGCAATGCCTTAAATTGATAAAAATAAAATAGATAACAAAACAACATACTCATACTGGCATATAGTTCAGGCAAATTCTGTTAATCGTTTAAGGAATTGAGAGATGATTTATTAGTAGAGGTGAATCTAATATTTTTAAATCCAATCCATTTTATCCAAATCCAATTAGATTGGTGGATTCATGGATTAATACATGGATCCAAATGACAAATTAGGGTTCAGTACCTGTACTTATATATTTTTTATATTTTGGTACCTGAATTTTATTTTTATAAGAAAAATGTCATTGAAAAATTACATTTTGGTAATTAAAAATTTTCAATATGATTTTTTAGTACCTAACCTTTTCAAAATTTACATATTGTTCCAAGGCTTACATGTCATTTGGATTCATGGATCAATCCACCAATCCATAAAATGTACACAAACTTACTACTTTGCCCCATCGTTCATGAAATTTTCATTCTAGCCTAAACTATGCACCAAGTTTGACATATTTCATTTACGTTACGTTGTTGGAATTTTAGTGAGTTATTGTAATCTTGCTTACATTTAAGGATTTAGGTTTTGATTGTCTTAATTTCATAGTCTTGCTTTACCCTCCCTATAATTCTTCACTACTAATTCAAATGAAATATTTATCGAACAATACAATTAAGGTTTGATTTTTTAACGCTTTTTAAATAATCCAAGTTTGACATGGAAGATCAAATTGAGGTTGAATCGAATAATCAAACCCGACCAACGGGTCGGGGAAAATGCTAGTTTTATATAATGACGAAATAAGATTAAAAGTTACAAAGAAACAAAAGAGCAAAAGATATATAAAGGAAACACAAGCAACAGACAGAGGAAACCAGCAAGACACACCCACTGCCGCAACAGGAGAAAAGGCAGCCACCAGAAAAGAGTCACTCAAAACCATCGGCAGAAAGAACAACCAAAGCCAAAAGAAACAGAACACAAAAACACAACACGGCTCAACAGAGGGACCCCGAAGAACACACTAATTCACAAGGAGATGGTCTAAATCAGCCTGGGCAAGCGAACGGGTGCTGCTGCTACTGCTAGGGAAGAGACGAGACCTCATATTACTGAACCTCAGCTCCACCACAACCCGATCAACATGATTAGTTGCAATCATCCACTCCGAGATGACTCTGCCGATTCTGAAGCAAACAACGCGGCTTAACTCCATCTTGCTCTTGAAAATCCTAGCATTTCTCTCCAGCCAAACTCGCCAGCAGAAGGCATGTAGAAAGACACTAGTACACCACTCTTTGGGAGATGTCGGCTGTCTACAAGTCCAAGAGAGAACGATAGAAGGAATATCGGTGGCCCTACTCAGTAGCCACAAAGGCTTCCATGATCCTCCAAACCTCCATAGAAAAGCTACAGGAAAGCATAATATGGTCGAGAGATTCTTCACTTGTACCGCAGAGGACACACCGACTAGGAAAGGCCAATCCTCTTTGCTTCAAGGCATCGTGAGTGAGGGTCTTCTTCTGATAAACAATCCACATAATAACACAAACTTTAAATGGGACCGCAGCCTGCCAAACAAACTTGAAAGGGAAGTCCAACAATCCAGGGCAGCGTTTCTTGATAAGCTCTTTATACATGGAATTAGCGTTTTCGATTTTCATATTTGTATTTAACTTAATATTTTTTCACTATATATTACCGGCAAATATGATAATTTGAAAATTATTGACACAAAAATTATGCTTTACACATCCAAAATGTTTGAACGCACATGCAAACATAACAACAATTTACGATAATGTACTCTAGGAAGGAATACGGTATTGCGATGACATTTAGTATAGCGCATTGGAACAACCATATGTTTTTTACCACTGCCCGACCACTTTTCAGCGGTGGTTAATAATATCACAAAAAAATGTGCAAATTCAAGCATATCTAAAATGCGTATTTTATTTACCCACAAAATAAGTGAGGTTGTGCATTACGTGGTAAATTTGAATTTTATGCTATGCATGTGCGAGGTTACGCATCTTCATCGTATTTTCTTTATCTTTCATTCATGTCCACATTTTGGGTTAATATATATTAAAAACAATATTTGGTTAATTGTCCAAAAAGGGTGACAAGGAGAAAACTGAATCTGAAAAGGAGATTGAGAAACCAGGTAGAGCTCCAGGAAATAAGAAAAGGAATAGGACAATGGCAAAAATGAAAGAGAGCAACTGCAAAGAAGTCCCTAAGACAAAATCCGAAGAAGGGAGCAAATACTGAGAAATGACGGTATCATACTCTCAATATTTGCTCCCGTCTTTGAACTTCGTCTTGGGGCCTTCTATGCAGATCTCTCCCTTTTTTTTCAATCAGTGCCCTTCTCTTCTTATTTTGTGCACTTGGAGCTCCGGTTGAACATTGTGGCCCAATATTTTCTTCTTCTTTTCAAATCCATTCTTTCTCCTTGTCCTTATATTACTTCTCCACGACCTTCGTGTCGTTTCCACCAACAGAGGCATTCTAGTGATCGACAAGCAAAAAAGATTCATTTAGTATTTAGTCAGATATATGAAACTTGAAATCCCAAGGGCTGATCAAAGTGTGTGGTGGAGAACCAACAGAGACATTCTACTGATCGATAACAAGAAAGATTGATACAAGAATTGATCATGAAGATTGAAGATTTCATTTAGTATTTAGACATAGCATCTCGTATGAGACATGAAATCCCAGGGGTTGATCAAATTGTGTGGTGGAGAACGAAGGAAAAATTATTTGGTCTGGATTTTAGCTTTTTTTAAGCATGCATTTAGCGAAATCTCAAGGTAGTTAATTACCTGTTGCATGCATGCTCGGGAAAAGTAACACTCGTATAACTTAGTGATTCACAAAAAGAAAAAACAAATTATGTAGGTTATTGATTTTAAACTTTGAATTTTTTTTTATAGAAATATGCTTCAGAAATTATATTTTGTTGCATTTAGCGAGATGGATTTTAGGTTTAGATATTTTCATATTTTGTATATTTTGGGGTGAATAGTTGTTTTGATTTAGGTTTTAAAAAACTGTAAAAAGTGTGTTTATTTATCTACACAATAAATAAAAGCCAAATGAGAAAACTTGAAGCTCCATTTCAAATTTCCTGCATTCAGAGTGAAAGTAGGAAGGATATTTTGGTCTTCACAATTACTTTTTTTTATTCATTAAAAATGGCACATACTAGGATTCGAACCATGACCACTTTAAAGAAAAGCAAACATCATAACCAATCACACTAAGTACATTTGTTATATCTTTTTAAATTAAAAGCATATAATAGCAGAGAGGAAATAACTCTTCCCCCATTTCAAATTCCCTGCTCCAGGAGCGTTTGTAGGAAGGGTAGAATAGGGAGTGCCAAATTTTTTTCTTTTTTCGCTGTGGAACGGGCCATCTTACCATACACATGCGGATTTAAACGGGTCTAGGAGTGTCAATTTTTTTCTTTAAGTCCTTTTATTTCTCCGTGATGGTAAAATATATATATGAAAATAGAAAAACAATACTCCTTTTTATTGCTAAAAAGAAACTAATGCATGGATTCTAATGGGCTAACCGCTAACCATAAAATAAAAGAGTTGAATGAGCCTGACCTACATGAGATTTGCCCATCAAGTAAAACAAATGAACATCATGGGTTTGCCATTCTAAAACAAGTTATTTTCTCTAGCATAATATATATTATGCTATTATTTTATATCTTAGTGGCTAAAATATAATGTATTTTAAAATTATTCAATGGTTCAACCTCGACCAACCCAATTAGTCCAATTTTTATCATTTCAAATATATATTATGTGATTATTTGATATCATAATTATTAAATTATAGTGTATTTTATAGGGAATCGTTTGGTATTTGTTAGTAAAAAAATAAACAGAAAGATCTATTTGGTTATTTTAACATTAAAACGATCCTAAACATTTTCAGCTTTCTTTCGAAATTCTATAGTTTTATTCCCGAATTAGTAATGTGCAAATGGCGAATTGCAGTCATCTCTTTTCTTTCATTATTTTTTATTTTCAAATAGAAAATTTGAAAGTAAAGAATAATTAGAGTTTGGCATGGGTCGGTCAAACATGCTGAATTTCAAGTTTTGGCCCGTTTTGATCATGTCTAATTTATAATCACATGGTTCCCTGATACCCGATAAAAATCTCAATCCAAACCAGTTTGGCAGGTGAGTTCGTGTTTACCACCATTTTCTAGAGATACAGGAACGGCGGTTCCTATCCCAAATCGTGTTGTTCATTCTTGATTTCTTTAGATTTTATCATGGCTTGGCAAAAACCAGAAAACACAATGACGACAAGATGAAAGTTCTATAAAGCAAATTAATTGGCCAACGGGCCGAGTAAAAGCTAGCAACGATTGTGAGATGCTCATTTCCCAAAACCGGCGGTATAGGCGATTTTTTATTCGATTTTATGGAATTCAGTTTCTATAAAACTTACTTCACCTCATCATATTGCCAGAAACAATATTGTTTCACAAGGTAACAGGTACTTGATTTTGGTTCATAAGGCTGATTTTTGATTCGTTGCATCATTTATGTCTCTTTCCTACTAAAATTCACTATTTTTATCACGTGTTTTCCAAAAGAACTATACAATAATAAGCTATACACCCATTACATTATCAAATTTCATACCTCACCTTCCTCCGACCAACTGGCCGGGGCCCACGCTAGTAATTACTTAAATTTGAAGAAAATTTGGGGGATAATAAAGTGAAACCAAATACGCCCAAGAGATAAGAGATTACTGTCATTATAATGTCATTATAATGCTGGTTATTTGCCATATATAGTGAAGTGAAAGCCTTATATATATCATTGTCGATAAATTTTTTAGCTACAACACCCAAACTATCAAAAGAATGTCATAACTATCATAAATTACTCAATGCGACAGTCCTATCACGAACTTTTATTTTTTTTTAACCGAATCCATTAATATTAACAAAAAGTTCAGTCGTCGCCTTACTTATCATCTGCAACTATGGTTTAACCATGGTTCAACCTCTTCGTACCTCTAAATACCGCTTTTCCCTTCTGATAGGAGGTTTTTCTGTTCAAACACTGGTACGATACAGTGTTTGTAATCTGTGTATAAAAGTGATATCTTTTATCGTTTGAGTGTTCTGGTTGAATTAACCCTAAATTTTATATATAGAGAGATAGGGGTTAATTTCCAAATTTTTTCTCATGAATTTCATATGAAATAAAATAAAAAAGAAGGGGCTAAAAGGATTTCCCATGAATCAATTTAAATTGAATTGTCATTTCCATGGTCGTTTTACTTACACTTCAAAATGACAACCAAATGATGTAATCAAGAAAATTATGTAATTCCTATGGCAAGTAATCATACACCTGTTCTAAAACCCCCCTCGAATTGAAATGCCACGGTTCATCAGTCATCATCAAACCCTGTCAATAATGAACACCAAGTACCAATTAGTATTCTTCAAAAGAAAAGGCAAAATTCAGAACAGGACCTAAAATCAACACCTGAAACGTACCTGCACCTCTGGGGAGCTCGCCAAGTCAACGAAGCCGAGCCTCTGGAGTCAGCCGGCAGCGACATATAATGTTTCCAGTCCCCAAGCACGACGTTGAGGTCGTGGATCTTGTGGCCCAGCCCGACGCAGCAGTTGGCGTGCATGGTGCAGGCCCAGTTGAGGTTCCGGGCCGGCTCGCAGAACCCGCCGAAGTAGGCCGTGTCCAGGAACCGGACTTTCAGCCCGATGGCGTCGAGGAAGGGGTCGAACTTGATCTTGTTCAGCACGTCCTGGTCGTGCATCCCCGGGAAACTGTGTCTCGCGTGGTACCAGAACCGGTAGAACTGGAGGGTCCGCACGTTGGACCGCACGAACGTGAACCCGCCGTTGGGGCGGTTGCGTCGGTCGGTGGAGGAGCCGCCGCCGCGGTGGCCGGTGTACTGGTCGCACGCGATCTGGAAGTCGGCGTCTTTGTGGAAGTGCGGGAATGGGTTCCGGAACCACATTATGTCTGCATCCTACCCACCAACACATATATATGCAAGTTACATCACTTCTGGCAGATTCTAAGCATTGGTATTTCGAAATACAAATTGAACTTGCACCATAAAAGTTGAAAATATGAATTCAATTTGTATAATAATTTTTAAATTTAGTTTGTACTATAAAATTTTTAATTTGTACAAAAATTAAAGATATAAACTGAATTTGTACGATAACATTAAATATACAAGTTCAATTTATACCATATATTTTATATTGTGAACCAAAGTATCAATAAAGCATTGTAAAAATTCATCTATAAGCTATTATGACATAAAAAAAACTTAAACCCTAATTTTTAGTATGGAGGATTTAGGTTTGATTTTTCAATTAGGTGCTACTTAATAAATTCGCAATTAGGAGTCCAAAATCAGTGCTAATTACCACTCGACCAAAAATTTACTCAGAAACCCTACTATTTTTTATAAGGGAAAAATCCTAATTTTATAGATATCACATGGGATTAAATTGTTCCACGAACTTTAGATTCTTTGTAGAAGATAAGGTAAACTCTGAGGCCTGAGCTGTCGACTCAATTAGAATTGTAATTGGTTCGAGACACTTAGTTGGACACCTGTACCCTTCATACGTGATACTGAAGAAAAGGAAAAGGATGATAGCTATTTACCGTGAAAACGAAGTCGTATCCGAGACGCAAAATAGAGGCCAGGAAGTCGATACGGCGCCACATCATGAGCAAGTACTCGCTGGTCATGAAGTATGCCTCTCCGGTGAAATTGACGCCTGGGGTCGTCAAAGCATAGCAATGTGGGTGTATGGCTTGGCAACGCTGGTGGGCCTTCTGGTCAAGTGAAATGATCACCAAGTTGTCGACCAAATCATGCGTCCCGTTTCCGGCCCTAAAGCTCTCCAGAAACAGGTCCAGGATCGAACCTGGCTCGGCCCAAGCCGAGTTTAACGTCGTTAGGATCACGGTCCTTGACGGTAACGACGACATTGGTCCTCCCGTCGTCCTGGTTGCGTTTTTTAGTACTCTCATCAACTCCGGGTCGCTGCTTTCCTGTTGTGTATGAGTATCCACGCGAAAATATAAACACAAACAAATCCCAAGTCACGACAATGTTGGAATAAAAAATTAGACCACCACTTGAAAGCAACAAATTGGACTGAATCATAGTGTTTCTGTATATGCATGTATCATTTCATAGAGAGAGAAAAAAAGGTTTATTATGCAAGTGTGTTCAACAGTTTGATTTTGTTGACATTAAAAGAAAAATAGAAGAGATTATTAGCATCAAGATTTGAAACCATAAGAAGAAAGTTAATTGGATCAAATATCGAAAATTAGAAAAGATTAATCTAGTACCGAGTCATTTTGTAAAAAAAAAAAAAAAAAAAAATAGGAATCAAATAAAATGACATCAACTAATTCGTTAAAAAAAGTATTTGCAACATGTTTCCTTAATTCTTTGTAACTATCATCTCGATCTCCCCCACCCCCTATTTTTGTATAATCATCAAAATGCTGGTAAGGGCGAAATTTGTTATGGAATGACACCAACGAATTCATCAACGTAAAAAAGTAGCACCATACAACATGTTTTCCTGATTCTTTATAACAATCAAGGTTCAAAAAGGTGTTAGGCGTAAAGTGAGCGTTTCGATCTTGTTTAGTGTCTACCATACTTAGACTTTGATTAAGCATATCTAGTCGCTGAATGCAATAGTTTGTACTACATAATGAATGAAATGATAATTTACAACAGATTAGTAATAACTATTTGATCTTGACATTTCCCAATTGATTTCCACACGATGTCAATCATCAAAAATGTTATGGCTAATTCTAATTGATTATCGTTTAATTAATTTGAGCACACAAATTTGACTTCGCAGATAATAAGCCGGTTTTTTTTCTTAAACGGTTGTTTCTCTGTTTGTTGCTACGTTTCTGTTTGATTCTTAATTAGTCTGTCGTTGCGCAGTTAACAGTTGTACTACTCTTCTTCAGCCCATCTTTCCTTGCTTTGTTCCATGCTGGGAAGTGGGAACAACCTTCTCTTCTCTTTCTTCTAATTGAATTTTCGTAATCCACTAAAAAGAAATCGTGTCCTGGCTTCCTAGTTGATGATAAAATAGTTCTTATATAAAAAAAAAAAGAAGGTGAAGTAGTTACTTATATTAAATTAATGAACCAGCTCCGGATGCAACCAACAACCTCGTGGGTGGCCAAAATTCATGCTGGGGCCTTGTCTGTGTGAACTGTGTTAGTTGGTTACTTCTTCTTTCTATTTAGTTTATAAAAATGAGTATTTTATATTTTTATTACTTAGCTTTACATTTCTCTTTTAATTTAATAATTAAGCTGTTAATATATAAACATATATGATTTGTTCAAATTCTAATTTATCAAAATATTCAACAACTAGCTAGTAGCTACACAAATAATGTGTCCTATAGCTTCCAAAAACAATAATAGAGGAACCACATACAACATATTTATTTTGATATAAAATGGTGTTGATTTAACCCGGCGCAATCAATTATCAAGAACGAAAAGAGATATAAGGGATTAAATATTAAAGGTTAATACATTCCTCTTGTTTTTAAAAAGGAAAATACTATTTTTTCCCGGGAAATCTTTGGCAAGTGGCAACTACACATTTGCATGGAGTAATGAGAAAAATCAAAACCTAGGCGAAAAGAAGAAAAATTTACTCTCCGCAAATTCTTTGACTCATCCATTGACCTTTTCCCTTCATAAATTTAATTTTTCTTTTCAATAACTTTTTATTGACCCCAAGTAAAAAAAACATAGGTTCAATTGTCAAATCTCATACGTTATGAACGTCTTTTTCCCCTTTTTCCAGGCTTATTACTAATTAATGACGCTCCAAAGGTGAAAATAAACAAATTTGGCAGAGAATAGACTGGTCCGTTCGGCTTTCCATTATGACTATATTCCAAAGCGGAGGAGAAACAATTTATTGTTCTGCCAAAAAAATAATTAAAGAAACACGAGGGAGAGCAAAGAAGAGGATTAATTAATATTCCCGTTGGCCGAAAACGGGGTTTAGATATTTACGGAAAAAGCAAAACAAACTGTTTATGCACGGAGAATAACACAAGAAAGGATTGGAGCGATTAATCCCGAGAAAGAGGGGAAAGGGAATTTTAATTTCGAGTTTAGATATGAACGGAAAACGGATCAGGCGGGATCGAGATTGATACACGGAGAACAATATGGCGTCGTTTTGTCAGAGCCACAGCAGCTAGCCGCATTGTTTAACCAAAAACAATCCCAAAGGGGAGCAGAGACGACAGGATTTGGCAGAGAGCACGATGATCAATTCAATCAAACAGTGATTTTCACGATTTAGGTAAATTACAAGCAATCAATCAATCGATTTGAAATGGTAAAAGTTTGGGAACTTACCGGGACTGGAGAAGTGATTTCCGGCCGATTGGCCGCGGCCTGGAGCGAGCTGCTGCCGCGAGAGATTGAAAACAAGTAGCCGGGGAACAGGAGGCCGCCAGCCGACGAGTAGAGGGATCGGTAGAGGACGAGGCAGCAGACGGCGATTCCGAGGAAGACGGCCGCCGAGATTTCCAGGCTCCGCCGTCGGAGGACGAAATTGCGGCTTCCTCCGCCGCTAGGATAGGAATTCTGTGAAATCTTGTTGTTGCTGACGACGCCCATCACGTGATTGCCATTGTTGCCATGAAGCTGATCCCCTGGCGCCGTCGTCGTCGAAACAGCCATGATGACGAATCTTCTGAATTCTGGCTTTTACCTTGTGTGACTTTTTTTGAAATTTGTTACTGGAAGCTGAATTGACCGGCCGCCATGGAGAAGGATATTTGTATGTGATTAATTAATCCGCGAATTAGGGACGGAGAAGCTACTTCGTCTGTTCGTCTTCTCCGGGAGGTAAAAGTAGAGGAGACGGAAGAAGAGAGTGCGCGGTTTAGGAAGAGAATAAGACTAGAAAGGAGGAGGAGGAGGAGGAGGCGACCTAAAAGACTAATCGTGTTTAATTTATATTTAAGTACGCAATCCACGTCATCGGCAATGGATTTAATATATGTATTGTTTTTATTTTTCCTGTTTGGCTTCGTTACTTTTTTTCTTCCTTCTCTCTATTTCAGAAAGGCTAACAATGAATAAACTCAATTAGGAAAATCCACTCTGTATTCCAAACTAGTACGTCAGCAGGTTCTTTGACTCATTTCTTTTCTTTGTCCCATCCAACCGCGGCTAGTCCACTCCTCAAATTGGGAGATTGTGTTACTAAATTCAACTTCATCTTATAGTGCAAGATAATTAAGGATTACTAATTACAACAAATTTTTAATATTCAACTCACTAGTAATCATATTCATTTCTATAACAACGATAAAAATATTTGCAAACAATCTTACAATATATAGATCTGTTAAATTTATGCAAGGTGGTTGAGATACTAAAGCCTCATGCTTACTCGAATGTGCTCTCTGGTACAAGTTTAGTAAGTAGGATAGGAAAAGGGAAGAAAACACTCACAACAAACCATTATTTCATTGATTGTTGTTTCTTGCCAACAAATATATTTCACATTTATAAGAATCACATATTAAAAACTGAAGAGTACAAATTTTAGTGAAAGTCTGAAATCCAAATATATATCATACAACATGGTGCATTGAAATGGTTTAACGGGATGCAAAGACGAATCATCATGTCCATTTTATCGAAATTTTCGAACTGTCACTTCAACTAATTTTTATGATAAATTTGCCAAAAACTTCATTGGATTATTCTTCTCACTGTCCACCAATTAGGCCAGTATCGAGTAAAATTATATTGTTACGACTCTCCAAGGATCCAATATTTTTCCCTTGTAATTTAACTGTTGTTTTCATTAGCAGATGAATGAAGTCACAAAACACCTCTAATTGTAAATTGACGATTAGAGATGTGGATAGCAATATATTCTTCCAAGGCAGCATTGATTGAATATCCCCACAGGATACCAGTCCCGGGCCCATCTTTTTTTTGGCACCATTGCTATGTTGCATTGTAAGGTTGGAACTTTGTATCCCAATTTCCACATACAACAACAAAACACAACAAGAATAAGAGAAATAGAAAAGGCCGATGTGCGTCAAAATCATCGGTGCCTTCGATAGCAAATAAATTCCAAGGGCAAGCATATGTCAAAGAATGGAACCGTCAGTAAAACGGATTGGTACCACAAAACAAAAACAAAAAACATAGTAAAAATAAACCAACTTCTTGTAATTTGAGGGAAGATGTAGAGAAAGAAAGCAGTAATGTTGGTTGTGATGGAATTTTTTTGGCGATATTAGTTATCTTCTTTTTTCTTTGGTAGAAATTATCTTCTTAACAGATGGCGAGATTTCAATTATTATAATTTAGGAGAGGTGAAGAGGAAATTAAAGTATTGGCGTTAATTATGTGGGGCATTGGTGCCCAATCACACAAGTGATTATTCGGATGTGTGTGGATTTCATCGGTCTCAACAAAGTGTGTCATATGGATGTTTTCCGTTATCGAGAATTGACTAACTTGTGGATGCTACAATTAATCATGAAACTTTCAATTTTTTAACATGTACGTGTTGGGATACCAGTACCACCAAGTTGTTTGTTTTAAGAAGATTGAGAAAAAAAGCACCTTTATAATGCTCTTTGGAAAGTACTGTTACTAAGTCATACGGAGTTATATCTTATCAGTTTCGGTTTAAAATGAACCAATAACAAAATCCAAAATATTAGGTGAGAGATGCATGGGATTTTTGTTTCTCTTGCAAACGAGCCGAGTCGAGTCGAGTTTTTGCTTAGCTTGAGCTCGGCTCGTTTATCAATTTTTTAGCTCGAGCTCGACTCGATTAAAAATAATCCAGCTCGAGCTCGGTAAATGCTCATTAACACAGCTTGTCAAGCTGAGTACAAGTTCGGCTCAAGACAAGCTCGATTTGAAACCATTCTTGCTGAAAAATGTGTACAAATAAGAACATTAGAAATTAAAAATGATAAAAAGAACACTAGAAACTAAAAATAGCATCTAACTTCCATACACATCCTTATTAACAAGATAATTTTCATGTTCAAAAGAGTAATTATTCCTTCCCCAAGCTTTAAACAAGTCAGCTTGCGAGCTTAGCTCAACAAGCCACCGAGTCAAGCTAGCTCACGAGCTTATCAAGCCGAGCATGGCCTAGCTCAAGTTTGGCTCGTTTACTAACGAGTCAGCTAGCGAGCTGGCTTGTTAAACAACGAGTCGAGTGTCGAACAAGTTTTTTCCGATTCGAACGCCAAGTTGCTCGCGAGCGGCTTGACTCATTTAATTTGCAGCCCTAGTTTCATATAACTGAAGCCCTTAACTGGTCCGATTTCAGTTTTGGGGAAAACAACTTATTAGTTTGTTGTTTTAATGATTTTGGTTAACCGAACCAAATCGAACCAACAAACCTAATCCTTGACTCCAAGTTTGAGAAATATTTGCTCCCCATCCATTGCTTAAATAACAACAGGATGCCAAAATGGCTTATAATTTGGGGTTGTTTTTCGGCAAGGAAAAACTTTTGTTTGAACGCAATGAATGTACCTTGACTTCTCGAACAACGATTAATAACACGGTCCACTTCTGTCCGAACAATGTTCGAACGAGGGTGTTTGATGTTTTTGGTGGTTTTTTTAGAACAAGCTACCGGGTCGTTTGCTTCATGGATTTGAAAAATGAAGGTTTTGATAAAACCTGGGTTTTGGAAATCCATAGACTTATGAAGGTTTTAGATCCATTATGGACTTTTAAAAATCCATTGTTTGTTTCATGGATTTTATGATGGATTTTGTTTAATGAAATTTGTAGATATTAAGTGAAATTGACATTATTGCCCCTATCTATAATTTTATAACGAAAGAAGACTCCAAATGTGCAACATATCATCATTAATTAAGCAAATGGTTCATTCTTTGTGTCGGAGGCTGCATTGGAAGGACAAATGTCGGGGGAGATAAATACTGAACATTAATTGCAAGTTTGAATTGATCTCCATTTTAGTAAGCAAAGTATAACATAAATCAATTGTGGCGATTACTCGAAGGACATTCTTTTAGCAAGCAAAGCATAACATAAATCAATGGTGGTGATTACTCAAAGGACATCAAGAATGTTATTTGTTGGAAGTAGAAGGAGATAAAAAAAAATGGGAGGATGGCAATGGTGGTGATGCTAGGATTCTCCGTGCAAGCATTTGTGACTCATAAGGGTCCAATTGGTGATCTTTGGAGCACCTAGCCAACCCATTTCACAAAATAATCAGCCGTCACAAAATACCTTGTATGACATATATGTAGAAATTGAAGTAGGAGGGTAGATTGGCCATTTATAAAAAAAAGTGAGGACAAACAAGTAAAATACCATTATGGATTTTAATCCATCACCCAATTCCCACCTCCATAGCTAGTTTTTCCAAATCCTCCACGGATTTGGACCTCAAAAGTACATGGGCCCCACGGATTTACACTCCCTAACTCCTTCAAGCAAACAATGGACTTTTGTCAAAATCCATGGAGCATGCAAATCCATCACCAAATCCATCAACCAAATCATCAAGCAAACGAACCCACGTTAATTACTCCTACTCCTATGGAGGTTCAGTAAGAGCTCCGAAAACTAAGGCTATGGCTAATTTGCAGAGAAAAAGATAAAGTTTGACATTGTGCGTCAAATGGTTGGTTGTGGAACCTTTTTCCCGTCTTCGTTTCTCCTATTTATAGCCACTAGGAGTAATTGCATTGGTAACCGCCTTGGTAACTGCTAGCCGGCTTGTTGCTCCAACCGCCTTAGAGACCCCTTTTCGTTGCCTTGGTTGCCAATTGGTAACCATTGTCTTGGTCTTCACCTCCATTGCCTTGGAGCTCCTTGACCCGTCTTGTTGACTGGTTGGTATCCATCGCCTTGGAGGCCCTTGTCCCGTCTTGGGGTTGGTGGGTACTTGATGGCCTCGATTCCGGGTCGGGTTGGTGTTGAGCCTTGTCGCCCTGTCATAACTGGATGGGGTTGAGGCTCTAGCCTTAGCCTCCATGAACCATGATGCAGTCTTGATCTCACCCTCGGTTGCTTGATGACTCCCCACTCTTGTCGTCTTGAGACCGCTACCACCCCAATGACACCAAATCCTCCTCATTAACTTGTTGGTTGTTACGACTTCGGCTTGACACCTTCCAGCATGCCACCAAGCCCATGTAATCAACTTGACACCCCATGCTACCAAGCCAACCCTGGTGGCTTGGTCTCCATACTTAGTTTTTTGTAGCTTCGTCAAGTTGGTAAGTTGCACCGTGCCGGTTTGGTACCCCGTTGAGGTGCTACCAAGCCCGTCTTGGGAATTTGTCTCCATATGGCCCCATAAGGGCTCAACTATGCATCTTGGCCGATCCATCCATGGCTGTTTGGTACCTAGTTGGGTGGCTACCTCAGTTAGCCACCATACCTTGGTCGAAATGCTTATCTTGTTGGCTTGATAACCTGATGTCTGGCTATCAAGTCCTTCTTGTCGGCTTGATACCCCCTTGGGGTCATGGTACCCTGTCGCCTTGCTTGGCTGCCAAGCCTGTCTTGCTGACTTGGTACCGAGGTTGCCTTGCCAACCCGGTACCCCTTAGCTCCATACTTAGCGAAATTCATGCTTTTCATATCTTGGTACCAAGCCCCGCCTTGCCAGATTGGTACCCTCTTGGCTCAAGACTTAGCCAAATTTCTTAGTTTTTGGATGGCCTCCTATTTGGTACCCGGCTTGGTACCCGACCGTTTGGCACCCCGTTGTGTCGCCTTGTTTCCAAGACTTAGTTTTTGTAGGCTAAATTTCATACTAAGGGGTGGAGGCATCGTCCGGTTATGGGGGCCTCGGAGACGGGTCGAACATCATTTAGAGGAGAAGGGGGTTTGCCACTTAGGCCCAAAAATCCAACCCAACTAGGCCTAGCTGGCTCTTTTAATCATTAATATTGAACTGGCCTTATAAATCCATTAATCCCCTTGTAATTAATCGATGTGGTACAAGCTGATTTTTTTATGGGTAAACAGGGGTATTGTCCAAACCTAATTTATAATGGGTCAAATCGAATTTGGGTAGCATAACTTTTAGGGCATAACCAAACTTTTAGTTTGGATCTAAATTAGATCATTATTTTGGATACCCAATTGGAATGTGACTCTTGCCTTTTCTTTGTTATAAAACAAACATTTAATACTGACATTTGTCGATAATACTTTTTCGTGTATATAATTATATAAATCCAAATAATTTCAAATAAACTCGCTTGGCTTGGACCAAATAAGGATTAAATCCAACCCCAAAATTATTAAGAATACATATGAGTAGGGATGAAAATGAGTTGGGTTGGGGCGGGTTTTGCCAAACCCAAACCCATGGGTTTATCCTCCAAAAAAACCGGGGTAAAACCCGCTGGGTTTGAAAAACTCAAACCCAACCCAACCCGATGGGTATCCGCGAGTTCATGGGTATCCGTGGATTTTTGTGGTAAAAAATTTACAATAACAAGTTTCTTCTGAATAAAAGTCTAACATCAATTTTCTCATAAAAATTATCCATACAAAAAAACACCAATCTAGAGCATACAAGCAAACCGCAAATTATCAATACAAATTGTTCAAAATTAAAGATAAACATCTATAAACAACATGATTAATTGACAGCTCCTTCCTCCTTGTCAACTAAGCTTCTTCACTCTCCACTCCATAATATCAACTTCATCGTACACAATTAGAAAGAACAAATTAGACATGCCTCCGCAAACATAAAGATTAGTTGTTTAAGAAAGATATATTAAATATTAAATATACCGAAAAAATTAATTATATGAGTGTGGGCGGGTACCCATGGGGCGAGTTTTCCTAAACCCAAACCCAACCCAACTCGGTGATGGTGTAGCGGGGTTAAACCCGAACCCAGCACAAAAACCGTCAACACGAGTTTTACCCGCGTTGATCGGGTTGAATCGGGTAGGATACTCGTTGTTGGGCCAACCATGGAGTCTCTTGGGCCGACAGGCCCATGACCTACAAAAAGCCCAGCGAAACAATCGAGCCCGGCCCCAATAGGCCCAGGGCACACTAATAAAAAGTTCGAAGGCGGTCTTCCCGAAAGAACCGCCTGACACGTCCCCAACGGAACTCTGAGAAACCGCCCGACACTGGGCCTAACGTCTCTCTGACACCTCAGTACGGAGGCTGACAAAGGTACGATCCTGACAGCCTCCTGAGAACGGGTCCTTATGCGACCTTGGACGCCCGACAAGGCATTAATTATCCTCACTCCGACATCCTCTAGTATAAATACCCACTCATGGGATACATTTGGGGTAACTTCTATCTACTCCATTCTCTCTCTTATTCACTATATCCACTTCTCTCACTAACTTAGGCATCGGAGGAGGTCCCAGGGCTCCCCTGAGGACCTTTGTTGCAGGAATTCGAAGGTCGCCTCTCATCCTCCCAAGACCGCACGAAGACTGTGAAGCCTCGCAAACCGCCCGGTACATTCCAGGCATAAACATTTTGGCGCCCACCGTGGGGCCTCACGACTTCGTCACCGGAAAAAATGGGAGACGACTTCGAAGCTCCTCCCAAAGGAATGACCCAGAACAACACCCTCCGGGGTCTATCGCCGAGAGTCGAAGACGAATCGGAGTTTGAAGAGATAGTCAAAGGTCATGACATGCAAATCGTGAACATACAAGACAGCCTGTCGCAAATCCTCTAACTACCGAAAACGAAGGAAGACCCTCCCGAGGGGTCGAGGGGAAGGACGCGAGAAGAGATGCGGATCTAGGCATCCTTGAAAAACATTTACGGTCGACTTACGGGAAACACAAGAGTCCCAATGTTCTTCAAAAACCCGCTCTCCGAGAAGCTGTTCAAGACCCCAGTACCGCCAAACTCCTCCTCCCTCGGACTACCGGCGTACAATGGGACCTCAGATCCCGCGGATCACCTTTGCGCGTTCATGTCAAAGGTGCAGCGCATCAACGCCCCGGACTCCGTCTTGTGCCGAGCGTTTCCCGTTACCTTCAGCGGTCATTTTCGGACCTCAGATCCCGCGGACCACCTTTGCGCGTTCATGTCAAAGGTGCAGCACATCAACGCCCCGGACTCCGTCTTGTGCCGAGCGTTTCCCGTTACCTTCAGCGGTCATTTTCGGACGTGATATGCCTCCCTCCCGGAAGGGGTGATAGAAATTTTCGGAGGTACCCTTGACACTTCAAGGAGCGCCCAGAGAGCAAAACATCATAGGTGGGTTTCGAACCCACATCCTCTCCCCACAAAGGAGCTCACACAACCCGTACACTACGAGGAAACCTTTAGCTTTACAAACGCAGCGGTCAATCATCATTGCTTTACAAACATCTCACAACCCTGGGGCTCAAAGCCCGCCCCTACATTCAAAGTCGATGCACCTCAAACCGGAGGTGACCGCCCTCTAAGCAGCCTTACCAGGCTCACATCCATCCACGACCCGCCTTGCGAAGGAAGCCCACAGTGGAGTCCGATGCGCTACTCATTTAGTTGAGCAAACTTCGTTCTCAACAAAATAAAAAATAAGGAATTCCTTGGCCAAGATTCGAACCCGCATTAATTAGGATACAAGAACGCCAACTGGCTGGCGACAACATCTTCTCATGTCAATAGGGGCAACCGCCCTTTATCTATTTGTTCCAAGATCCAACGCAGGAACCGAACACGGCCCAACTGCCGTCTCGTCTCCAACATGCCAGGAGCCCAAGGCCGGGACCGCCTCGCTCCACCTCCGAGCGGACGCAAGACCGGGACCGCCTCGCTCCACCTCCGAGCGGATGCAAGACCGGGACCGCTTCGCTCCACATCCCATTATCCAAGGCGATCCTATCCCTCGTCGACGAGTCGCCTCCCTCATCAACGCGATCCGTCTCGCACGCGGACCCCTTCGTCCGAAAGTCCAATAAGCAAGCCCATCACGCCACTAGAAGACTGGAGGCATCTACTTACGAAAAGAAGAAGAGAAACACGTGCACCATACTCAAACACCTAACCCAACTCTCATAGGCAGGGGCAATTACCAGTCTGCCACGAGACCGCCTTGAGGATCAGAAAGCGACTCGTCTTACTTAAACCGCTTCCCAGCTGTCTTCTACCGCTTATTCTCAAGCTAAGTACTTCCTTCTAAGATATATTCAAATACTATGCCATGAAGACCGCTCCCAATAGCACACAATGACGTTTCTCCCTACATCCCACGCTATGACATGTTTCTCCCTACATCCCACGCTATGACATGTTTCACGCATGCTATGCTTATGTTTGTCACTCACATCCTTCGCAGATGTAAAACCGCATCACATGATCTACATCCCGTGCCATGACATATTTCATGCATGATATGCTTATTTCACGCATGCTATCCCTCCACACAAAAGTCTGACCTTGTCAGAGCGCGAAAATCGATGCCACCACGTGGGACAACCGAGTGCGGTTATAGACCGCCCATCATACAAACAAGTCGGTAAAGCCGCCCCCTTAGGCGTTCGAACGCCACGCCTCCGCGGCCAGGGGCAAGCAGATAATCATAGGCCGAGCGACCCAAGACCGCTCCACGGCGACAAAAAACAGTTAGCCGCGAAAACCTAACGATCATCACGACTAAGGGGCAAATGTTGGGCCAACCATGGAGTCTCTTGGGCCGACAGGCCCATGACCTACAAAAAGCCCAGCGAAACAATCGAGCCCGGCCCCAATAGGCCCAGGGCACACTAATAAAAAGTTCGAAGGCGGTCTTCCCGAAAGAACCGCCTGACACGTCCCCAACGGAACTCTGAGAAACCGCCCGACACTGGGCCTAACGTCTCTCTGACACCTCAGTACGGAGGCTGACAAAGGTACGATCCTGACAGCCTCCTGAGAACGGGTCCTTATGCGACCTTGGACGCCCGACAAGGCATTAATTATCCTCACTCCGACATCCTCTAGTATAAATACCCACTCATGGGACACATTTGGGGTAACTTCTATCTACTCCATTCTCTCTCTTATTCACTATATCCACTTCTCTCACTAACTTAGGCATCGGAGGAGGTCCCAGGGCTCCCCTGAGGACCTTTGTTGCAGGAATTCGAAGGTCGCCTCTCATCCTCCCAAGACCGCACGAAGACTGTGAAGCCTCGCAAACCGCCCGGTACATTCCAGGCATAAACACTCGTGGTTTCGGGTTTTGTTGCCATCCCTACATATGAGTCATACGAATCAAACCCAATATCCATTTTAGTCATGACAATCCGGTCCAATTACTCATTGAGTCTACGCCATACTGCACATCGATATTAGATAGTTTAGGGACCAACATGTAAATTATCGCAAATATTGGCGATGCTCTTCCTCAATATTTTTCTTTCCTTCCTACGTGGCGTTTCGAAACGGAAAACGGAAGACGGAAAAAGCAACGGCACGTAAAGCGGTCCACCCGCCGGAAGAAAAGCAATCTCCCCTCAGGCATCTCCTCTCCTCTCTCTCACACAGATTGCCATTTCCTTACTCAAAGCAGGTTCCGTTCCAAAAAGCGCTCTCTCTCCGCACAAAGCCACAAACAACCTTCCGTTTTCATCTGCCATGGGGTTAGGGTTTCGATCAATTTGACAAATGGCGCTGCCACACCTCAATCTGCCGTCGATTCCTTCCCCGGCTTCTTGCTGCTGCTGTCGCTGTCAACATTTCCGAATTCTCCGTGGCAATGCACCCCCGACACATTCCCTTCTCGTGGGCTTTGCTCGCCGCCCTGTGATTTCCTCCCCTGCCGGACTTGGGGGTTTCCTCTCTGGTTCCTTGTCGAGGGGTTTGAGAAAGAGAGCTGTTACGGTCTCGCCGTGGATACTGAACGCTGCTACTCCAACTCGCGTCCTAGATAATGCCACCGCTCCGGCCACTGCCACTGTGGAAATCAACGTCACCTGCTATCAGGTTGTTTCTCTCTCTGGTTTAAGTCGGGGGTGGTTTGCATTTTTAGCAGTGCAGCGCAGGGAGATTGTAGTGGTCATTTCGAGTTAGAATTTACTTTCAAGTAGCTATGTCTAGCTCTGTTGTGGGAATCAATAGGGGAAAATTTGTGGTATTCAGTCATTGTGCATCATCTACAATGCTCCTGAATGGGTCAGAAGCTGTGGTGAGTAGAAATTACTTGATTTGGAGGCAAAGCAAGCTCAATTGAATGTTTTACTGCCGATCAGAATGAGCACTTCTACTATGCTATATAGTATTGGTGATTTAATGTACAACTTTAGGTTGTACTATAACAATAAATGTATAAGTTTAGGTTGTACCATAAAGGAATTTGTATCATTATGTTATGGTATAACTTTACAACTTGAAGTTGTACCATCACATAAAGGTACAAGTTCAGGTTGTACCATAAAAGAATTTGCACAAAAAGTATAGGTACAATTTGAAGTTGTACCATAACGTTAAAGGTACAATTTCAAGTTGTACCATAAAGATAAAAACCTATAGCACCAATGCTATATAGCATTATAAAATTCCTCGATCAGAATGAAAGTGCCAATGGAACAATTAAAGTGAAAATGATTGCAGGTGGATGTGATCAATTAGTTTGCGAAATTGCATCTATAATTAACTTCTAAACTTGGCTTGTAGCTCTTGTTAGTTTGGTATCAGCATGTTGGTTGGCTACTGACCTTTAGATAATTGGTAACCTGCAGCTACTTGGTCTTCGCAATCAAGCAGAGAAAGACGAGGTAGTGAAGTCAGTGATCCAATTGAAAAGTGCTGAGGTAGAAGATGGATATACAATGGACGCCATAATGTCTCGCAAGGTGATGTTCCTTGGTAATTTTTTTTATAAATATTCTTGTCCACGTGGTGTTTGCAGCGGAGAACAGTTGTGGGCTTCCTAATTTCCCTTGTGTTCTATATGTATGCAGGATCTTTTGATGGATGTGAGGGACAAGGTTCTTTTTGAACCTGAATATGCTGGAAACGTGAGGGATAAGATTCCACCCAAGTCTTCTTTATACATTCCATGGGCCTGGTTGCCTGGTGCTCTTTCCCTTCTTCAAGAGGTATAACTGATATCTCGAGTTTTATCGTCTTAAGATTAGAATTTCCCAAATTTGCTGGTATCCTAGTTCCCACCGTCGTCCTACTTTATGCACTTCTTGGTTGTAGTATATTTCTTCCAGAATAACTGCTATATATGTTCCTAATCAATTCCTGGAATTGCATTGTTGTCAAACAACTTCGCTACAGTTGTAATTCTTTTCGTATAAATGTCATTTACAGGTTGGTGAAGAGAAGCTAGTGCTTGATATTGGAAGAAAGGCTATCCAGAAGCCAGATGCTAAGCCGTATATCCATGACATACTTTTATCAATGGCACTGGCAGAAGTAAGTATTGAACTGATAGGCTCATTATTAACCAGCAGAACTTTGTTAGGAAACTTTTTCTAATGACTGCTGCTCTTTTTTTCAGTGTGCAATTGCAAAAATTAATTTTGAGAACAATAAGGTATCCTTTGGATTTGAAGCTCTAGCCCGTGCTCAGTGTCTGCTTAGGAGTAAGATCTCCCTTGGGAAGATGGCTTTGCTGGCCCAGGTAATGCTTAATATATAACCTTTATTTTATTGATTTCTAGTTCTATGTCGTGCATATGGAAGCCAACTTGTACTGAAGGACTATATGAAAAGTGATGAAAGTTAGAGCTCTCAAGTTCTGGAGACGTTTCTTCTTCCCTTTTTTGTAAAGTTTTTTTTGTCTTCTATGTTCAGATAGAAGAATCTCTGGAGGAGCTGGCACCTGCTTGCACACTGGAGATATTAAGCATGCCTCGTTCTCCTGAAAATGCTGAAAGGAGACGAGGAGCAATAGCAGCTTTGCGTGAATTACTCAGACAAGGCCTTGATGCGGAAATGTCATGTAGAGTCCAAGACTGGCCTTGCTTTCTGATTCAAGCGTTTAATCGGCTCATGGCCACGGAAATAGTTGATCTTCTTCCTTGGGATGATTTAGCCCTTACTAGGAGAAACAAGAAATCACTTGAATCACATACTCAGAGGGCTGTGATTGACTTCGATTGTTTCTATGTGGCACTGATAGCTCATATTGCTCTGGGTTTCTCTTTCAAACAGACAAAATTGGTAAACACATTTTTATCTCATATAATGTAACATAGCTAAGTTTTTGTTTTTCTCTCTCTGTGCTGACCTTGATCCTATCCTTTAGATCAACAGAGCGAAAGATATATGTGGCACTCTGATAGCATCGGAAGGTATTGATCTAAAATTGGAGGAAGCATTTTGCTTGTTTCTTTTGGGGGAGGTATGTTTCAGTTTGTTTCCTCAATTGCTACGCAATTATGTTAAACAGCATTCTCACATTTTCTAGAATTTTATGGACCATTTCATTTTCGTTTCCTTGTTTGCTCATCCCTGTTTTTTTTATGACTTTCCTGATGTGTGCAATCGTAATTGTCAGGGAAATGAGGCCCAGGTTATTGATAAGCTTCAACAGCTAGAATTGAATGTGAACCCTGCTCCACGGATTTTAATCTCTGGGAAGGAGAAGAACGTTGCAACTTCTGTCAAGTCTCCAGTGGTATGTTATAGTTTAAATTTATGTACTATTTATCTCTTCATGAATCTGAAGGTTTCTTTCCTAGAACATATTTGAACCAAAGGTAGGTTCCAATAGGTTCTTATCGTCAAAATCTAGGGATGAATTTTTTAGGTGCCAGTTCCGGGTAAGGCAATTTCAGGCTCTATGTATGCTAGGTAATATGGAAATTCCACTGGTTGTAGTTCTAGGGGAAGGACTAAAGTGGATACTTTCAAGTGTTTTATGAAGACTTCTGCTCTTTGAGGATTTGTTTTAGCAAATTGACTTAACCTCATTGCAGGCATCATGCTTTTGGTAGCGTAGTAGGGTTGCATCCTTGCTTGATGGATGAGTTGAGCATTTATGTGTGCTTGAGAAGTCCTTTTAAGTTGTACACTAGAAGATAGTAATAGGTCAGAGTTCTGCAAAAGCATGTATTTATTTTCTTGATGCCTTATTTGAGCAATTTATTTACTTTCTTATGTCAGACATCCTGCTGAACTTGACCAGGAAACATGGCTGAAGGACTCTGTGCTTGCTGCGTTTTCAGATACCAGAGATTGTTCACCATCACTGGTGAGTACTACCATAACCGATCAACTAATTGGAAGAAAAAGAGGATTGTTGGTTAACTTTTGGCCTTCCAGGTAGGTTTTTTCTCTGGTGAAAGGAGAACTGAAGGCGAGAAGAGCAAGTTACCTTCTCTTTCAACCAAAAGGGGTACAGGTCAAAGGCCTTTCTCAGATTTTTCATCAGAACGAATGAATCATGGTGGGGAATCTCTCTCATTCAAGACCTCTTCTCAACACCTTGGATCAGCTGTGAAGCAGTTGACTCTTGTGGATTTGCAGCCCTCATTGATGTCCGACAAGAGTGATGATCAAGCCAGTGAGGACCCACCACCGGTTCAACTGAAAAGAAATTTGGACATGCGAGATAATGGAAATTGGGAAAGTTGGCCATCATATGGGAATGTGGTTGGAAAGATCATATTTGTTGTAGTATTAGGGTGCATCACTTTTATCACCTCCAAGTTATCTTACAGGAGTCTAAGGTCACCTACATTTGCCGTCAATAAGCATATTGCTGATACTGCTTCCCATAGTGACATCTCAGATTTTTCTCATGATAGCATTGGAGGAGGTGGTATCGGTGACAGAATGAAGAAGCTATCAGCAACTGTCAAAACAAAATTCTACACACTGCCACGTCATAGTACATCACAGAATTCGGGGGTGACCACTGGCAGAAAGTCTTCTACAAGAGCGGTGTCTAGGAAGCAGATGCCAGTTGACGAAGCTGAAGCTCTGGTTAGGCAATGGCAAACTGTCAAAGCTGAAGCTTTGGGTCCCGAGCATCAAATCCAGAGCCTGTCTGAACTGCTTGCTGAGTCAATGCTTGATCAGGTAAATCAAACCTTGATAGAACTGAATAGTGAATAACCTCCATCGTTCTGGACTCTGCAAGCACCAGTTGGGTAAACAACTCACTGACTTTTATTGTTCCGATCTGCAGTGGCAAGAATTGGCTGATGCAGCTCACTCCAAGTCCTGCTATTGGAGATTTCTTTTGCTAGACCTGTCCATCTTGAAAGCTGATGTTGTTTCTGATGGATTCGGGATGGAGACTGCAGAAATCGAAGCCCTTCTCGAGGAAGCAGCTGAGCTTGTTGACGAGTCTCAGCAGAAGAAGAACCCAAACTATCACAGGTAAAATGTAGCACCATTATCTTGATTATTCACCGGAATAGGTAAATAGACCAAGTGACTGAATTGATCAGTGGTGGATTATCAAATTTGATCTAATAATTAAAATCCTTTGCAGCAAGTATAAGATTCGCTATGCATTGAAGAGGCAAGACGATGGATCATGGCGGTTCTGCAAATGCGAGATCCAATCCCCATCATGATGTCTCTGCATCACAAATCGGGAAATGCAGCAATTCAGGAACGAATGTTCGATCCCCCAGTCACCAATTACGGTTCCTTCTTCAATTAAGCGTGGAAAACTATTAGATTAGATCATCTCTAACTAGCTGTGGTTTAGAGTGTTAGCATTCCGTAGTGATGTTGGTTTTATCGATTTCGATTCATTGATTTGATTGACTTGCATTCCACGCATGCACTGGTTCTGAATGTAAATGCAATGGTAGATTGCTCTTAGAAATAACACGTAGACAGTAAATGCATATGCACAAAATCAATATTATCAATCCATCTGCAAACATTACATATATATTGCCACTTTTTCATCAACATGTGAGATTATCCCCAGGAGCAACACCGAGCTGGCGGCAGTACTCGGTGTAAAACTCGGCACGGCGTTGCACGGTTGCGGAGTTCCTTCCGTCGCACTCCAGAGCGCCATTAATGGCCCTGGTGGTCGCCCCGAATCCCTGACCCATCACCTGCTGCACGTTGTTGGTCCAGAACCACAGCGCCGTCTTGAATGAGATTTCGGGATCAGTCGCCACCGTTTCGGGGGCGTTGAGCCCGTCGAATCCGATCTGAGCTCCGGCAGGGCCGTAGTTGAAGTTCCAGGACAGCTGGAGCGGACCCCGGCCGTAGTAACCCTTGCTTGGATTGCAAGGAAACTGTGTGTTATCCTCCTCGCAGTAATCCCTGGATGCTCCATCAATCTCCTCTATGTGACAGAAGTCTGTAAAAGTAGGATCATCGTCAACAGAGTGAGAGACTCAACCAGAGGAACCAAACCAGAGTAAAAGACACTTACGTCCAGTTTCGTGTGTGGCGTGGGCGAAGAAGGCGGCGACTTCCCGCCGGGAGTCGTCCTCGGACCCGAGCCGGGCGAAGCCTTGGTACGACCGGAGGGCCCGGACGAAGACGTCGCGGGAGTAGAAGCTCTTCCCGGCGCAACCGGCGTCGGACTGGTCCATGATGCCGTTGAAGAATGCAGGGGTGACGATGTCGGCCACCTGGACTTCGTTTCTGCTGCAGGCCCCGCTCTGGCAGCCTGCCCCGCAGTGATCCGGGCTGGTTCCGCAGAAGCCCCACCTGCTGCAGCACTCGTTGGAAGCGCAGCCGCAGTTCTGGGCGGCGGCGGCGGCGGCCAGAGCTCCGACGAGGAAAACAGAGAGGAGGAGTTTGGGGGTGATGGTGGATGGAGCCATTGTTGGATGAGTGGGTTTGAATTTGATTGGATAGTTTGGGATTGAGGAGGATTCGTTTTATAGAGGACGGAAGGTGGAGGTGACTGGGTCAGATTGGAGCTGTGGGGTTGCTCTGGATAGTTTGAAATGGGAACTGAGGAGGAAGACGGTGGTTCATTGAGGCGCATTAACTGACCAAGTGCGTGTGGAAAAAAGCGGAACAGAGACTTTGAGACTTGACTTGTTCATCTCTATATGGTCGGATTGTTTGAAGTTTTTTTTTTTTTTTTTTTTTTTATAACCCAGGGAACCTCAGCCCCACGTGCCGCTTGAGCGACAGCGGGGCTACTAAACCTCAGCCCCACGTGCCGCTTGAGCGACAGCGGGGCTACTAAACCACTGGGGGTACCTGCATACTAACCGGGGCTTTCTGCTACCAACATCGGGGAGGCGAAGCTTGAGCGACAGCGGGGCCTACTAAACCACTGGGGGTACCTGCATACTAACCGGGGCTTTCTGCTACCAACATCGGGGAGGCTTCGCCTCCGATACCAAGGGTGCCGCCGGGAACGCTCAAGTGGCGCCACTGGGAATCGAACTCAGGACCTCTCACATCCAGAGCTCAATTGGTCCAGTGGTTTCACCACTAGGCTATGTTACCTTTGGCTGATTGTTTGAAGTTTCAAAGCTCTCAATTTCAGAAACTGTCCGTCACTGTTGAGAAACCACGCCTTGGTGATCGGAGAGAGAAAGCTCCGGCTCGTTAAGGTCGCCGATTACCGGCTTTAATTAGCCGAATTTCGAAAGAAAGTGGGTGCACACATAAGGAGATCATCCGCAAAACATAAGATTTAAGCTTGCGATATTTTGAGAATGATACCAGAGTTTTTTGAGCCGAGCCGATTTATTAAAGAAGACATGGTACAACTTTTATGCTATTTGTAAACAAATCAAGAACTATCAAATCATGCAACACTATAGAGCAATATTGCATGTCAATAAATCAAGAACCAAAGAAAGCTATCGCATGCACAAAATTTTGAGCAGTTAGAAGTGTTTCTTTCTTGGGATTAGGGCTGCAAATGAGCCGAGCTGCTCGCGAGCGACTCGGCGTTCGACTCGAGAAAAGTTCGTTCGAAACTCGGCTCATTAATAAATGAGCCGAACATGAGCTAAGCTTTGTTCAGCTCGTGAAGCTCACGAGCTAGCTCGTCTCGGTGGCTTGTTGAGCTAAACTCGTGAACTCGCTCGTTCAGAGCTCATGATATGTCTCAACATGTGGCTAGAGAGCCAACTCGATTACCGACTTATGGACGAATTAATATATATATCTTATGATTTTAATTCATATGGTTGTTAAATTATATATCTCGCCATATATAAAGTTTAACACGTTGAGTATGTGAGCAAATATATCTTATTTTCTATTTTAAAAAGAAAATATGTATCATCGATTGCTTCGATACTATGAAATAACATGATTTGAAGTAGTTAAAATTTATAACTAAATGATATATGATATCAACAAAGTATAATATGAGATTAGCTAACAAAATAAATCATATGTATCATGATATACAAAATGAAGTACCAAATAAAAGTCAAGATTTTATTAAACAAGCTAGCTCGAGCTCGACTCGGCTCGACTCGTTAATAAACGAGCTGCGCTCGAGCTCGACTCGTTACTGGGGTAAACTCGGCTCGACTCGACTCATTTGTAGCCCTACTTGGGATCACTATAGACATCACATTGCCAACGACGTTAACCCCCAAACTTAAGGGAGCAACGTCATGTAACGTAATACCTGTAGTACCAATAAGTATGTAATTAGGATCCTCAATTTGATTCTTGTTATCTTTGAATGTATGCCTGTGTAAGGGTCAGCATCAACTGATGGAAGTTGTGACTGTGTTTTTACACTGCTCTCCATTGCGGAGGAGACCTTGACAGAGTTCCTATCAAAGGCTAGAGGAACTGCTGTCGATTGGGTTTAGATGCCTGAGTTGAAGGTGTTTCGACTTGAACTCAAGCTCGCTGTGCTGGATCTGGCTCAAGCTCGGCTCATTAGCAAACGAGTTAGTTAACGAGCCAATTAACATGAACTTTGAAATCGTACAAAATCAAATAAATCGTTGATTTTAAGGATTTTAAAGTTTTAAATTGAGATTTTATGAAATTTTAAGGTTCAAGGATTTAGTAATAAAATTAGGATCGAAGCCAATATAGAAGATCGTAAAATCATAACATTTTAACATTAGGATCATGGTTTGCAACTACAATGTATAAAATAGCACAGTAGAAAACTTTCCACCACATGAAGTCCAATCGTTTATGGTACACAGAATAATTTTCATATTGAGGTCGACGCAGTAGCGGATCTCCCGCAGGTAATAGATGATAAGGTATCTTATTTCAACATGAGGTAAGCATACTGGATATCTACTGGCCTATACCCTTGCCCTGGAGTGATGGAACCTATTGCAAGTCTTTTTCCCACTTCGATAAATCGTGTTAGCATATATGCGAAGTAGAAGTACATCTCCACGATTTCCCCTGAGTACCTTCCATGTTTGTTCCACTCGTAGGTCCAGAATTCGGGGGGTGGGGGTATTGGCCGTTTGTGATTCGCAGCTGGGGCCACGTCCTTTGAAGGTTGTCATACGTTCCCCAAGACAATCTCGCCTATTGCTCCAAGCAAAAAATAAGGATATGTTATCAACATGAAAGAAGAATAAGAAACCATAAAAAAAAAGAATAAGAAGAAGGAGAAATACGATCCATACCACCAGATTAATACGCGAGATCATAGGGGAAGGTGTTTCTGTACGTGAAATCTCGGAACCGTTCGCGTTGGTTGCCCACAAGTCGTGAATTGCGAAATATCGTGGAATGTGGAGGGAGCATGGTGGTTCCGCCATGCATAAGGTAGAAGGCCACTGGAGAGTCAATATGTAAAAAGTCAAATGCTAACGAATTGTAAACATTTGACAGAAGGAGAATGATTATGAGTATGGCTGACTTTGGCATTGTCATTTTTTTTTTTCTTTCGGTAAGTTTTTTTTATAATGGTGATGATTGTATTGAAACCAAAAGGCAAAAAAGAAATTGTACATGACAAGAAGAAAGAAAAGAAAAAAAGCAGTTCACAAGTATTGGAAAATGGAGTTTTTGCTCTTGTCATTTATAGAGGAGAAGGTAAGCTCTTTAGGTAGCTCACACCATATGCATCATTGGTAATTAGGTGAGCTGTTGGCTCACAAAGTATTAGCTCCTTGATGTTAGGTGGCTCACTCTTGGCTGGTGGACGGGAAGAGAAGCTTTCGGCGCACTGCCATTGGCGGTGTCGCAAAAAATTTTGGCCTCTGTTTTTTCTAGTCTCCTACTGGAAACTGAATATCAGTTCCGTCAGTGGTCTCGCCCATACCTCAATCGAAAATCTAAATCGGCGATGCTTCCTAACGACAATCTGAAATTGGAATCACCCACCCTCTATTTTGCCACTCTCAAATCCGACCTGCGAAATCCCTCCCGGCGACCTCTCTACTCATCGAAACTCTCCTCATCTCCCACTTTCTATTCGACCACAATCAATATGAAATCCAAACCCGCCCACCACCGTCGGCCCTCTCTCTAATTCGCCGGTCGACGCGGTCTTTGTTGGCATCTGGATCTACCTTGGAGTCCCAGAAAAAGAAATCTACCTCATCTCCCACTTGCAATTCGGCCACTCTCAATCCGAAATCCAAATCCCCCAGCGTCTCCCTCTCTCTACTTTGCCGTTCGTCGCAGTCTTTGTCGGCATCTGCTCTGCATTGGAAAGCCTAAGTTTCAATTTTTTCAGTTCTCAGGAACGTGGGTGTTGCCGTCATCCGTCCAGCGGAACATAAACATTGAGAGTTGAGACTTGAATCGTTCATTATTGGTGTGGTGGGGTTGTTTGAAAATTCCAAGTTCTCGATTCAAAGGCAATCAGTGTTGAGAAACCACTTGTTGAACGAACTGGCCTCGATGGTCGGAGAGAATCTGATGGAAAAAGGTCCGGCTCGTTCACGTCGCCGATTACCGACTTTAATTAGCCGGATTTCCAAGAAAGTAGTAATAACCTAGCATTGTGAAGCATTTCATCTAGTAAGGTGTATGACAAAATAATTCATTAATGAGGATCTCCAACTGAATCCGAATTGATTTGAACGGGAAAAGACGATTGATATTGTTTTTGGGTAGATTCTTTTCGAACTCAATAAAGAGGATAATGGATTTGGTGCGGGTTTAGTATTTAAGTATTCGCATCCACCGAACTCACTCAAGTATGTGCTACAACTATGATATATATAGGCTCATTAGCTTCAACATTTCGGTCATCTACATCCCTCTAGTATTGTAAGTATCTCTTATACAAAATTCTTCTTCATTTTCCCTCATTTTTACCAACAATGTCTTAACAAAATTTCAAAGTATTGATTCTAAGAAAATTCCACATTACATTAAAAAATTTATATATGATTATCCGGGAATGGTTCTCCAAACCACACATGGCTAGGCATTAGTATGCATGCCATCCGTGATTGTACATCTCCGCTAATTATTTTTTTTAAAGATAGTCACGATTTTAAAACCGTGGCTCAACAATGGTAGAGAGGAAAATCTTCTCCACCCGAATCATTGCCATCCCTAATTTCATCCGATGAATAAACTACACTCTTGGCAGGATTATAATGAAGGCCATAAAGCTCATAGAAGCACTGTAGGACTCTATATGTAGTCTCTACTACATAAATATAACTTGTAGAGAAACTAACGAGATCATCCACAAAACATAAATATGTAACTTAAAGCTTGCGGCGTTGAGAATGATACGGTAGATCTTTGAACCTTTTTTTCATTGTGTGGGAGGCATAAGCCAAAGCTTCCAGAAACTAACAGTTACAAATCAGGCCACTATATATCAATTCACAGTCTCATTAAGAAGACATGATATAATCTTCTTTCCTATCTCAAGAATGTATTATCACCAATTCCTCCGTCTTTCACAAATGCCAATTGGTTCTCACTGATTAATTGAGACGAACACTTTTACTAAGATGACTAGAAAGGTTTTTGTGACAACATACACGACATCCACGTCAGCATGAATTATTAAATCACCAGCAAATCGAGAAAATTGTTAATACAAGGTTGAAATATGAAACACTAGATAGTAACATCGCATGTAAATAGATGAAGTGCCATCGGATGCACGAAATTAGATTAACAAACCTAGTTTAGCAAACATAAACAACATCAACATCACCCGCACTGTAGGTACTCTCATTTCATGCATTAACCTTCCGTATAATAGGATTCCACACATCTGCCAGCTTCTGCATACTCTTCTCATATTCTTCCTTAGAAACATTTCCATTCCCGTCCAACCACTCCGAAGCTTCTCTCACTGCATCCTCCACCTTCTCCTTGTCACGTGACCACTTATTGGTACCAATGTTACGATTGTTCAGAGCGCCCTTGACGTCGTATATATACCTCTCGAATCGGTTCCTCGCCTCGACGCGCTCCTTGGCCCGTTTATCTTCCTCGGCCATCTGCTTCGCCTCCCTCACCATCCTCTCCACCTCTTCCTCCGTCAGGTTTCCTTTGTATCCCTTGGCGACGAACGATTTTGAGTTGTTCATCGCGTTGTCCTCCACGAGTACGCTCAAGATCCCGTTGGCATCGATCTTGAATGTCACGTTCATTTTGACAACACCCCTGCACAACATATATATGGAGTTTTCTTCTTACTAGCAACTCATGCTTGTAAAAGATGTATATCAACACATTGTGTACATTACCTTGGAGCCGGTGGAAGGTCTCGTAGACTAATCCTTCCAAGCTCAAGGCAATCCTTGGTCATCACTCTTTCACCTTGAAATATCTACACAACAGAAGTTCAATACGATTATATGATGTGTTTCAAGTTGTAAATTAATTTGCAGCAGGCTGGCTAGGTAGGTAGGTAGGTCAAATTATCGAAACAAACCCTGAATGTAATGGTAGTCTGGTTGTCCTGGCTAGTGTGATAAATCTGTGACATCTTGGTCGGAATAGAAGTGTTTCTTGGGATCAATACCGACATCACATCACCAACGACGTTAATCCCCAAACTTAAGGGAGCAACGTCATGTAAGGTAATACCTGTAGTACCAATAAGTATGTAATTAGGATCCTCATTAGCCAATATATCAATTGATAATTTTTATAATAAGTAAAAAATCGCACAATAAGAAACACGTAATTTATTCTCATACCGAATTATTTGGTGGTATGGAATTACAGTGAGACAATCAACTGTCATATTATTTTCGTAATAATATTTATGTGTCGTTAGGACTGCAAATGAGCCAAGCCACTCGTGAGCAACTCGACGTTCGAATCGGAAAAAACTAGTTCGACACTCGGCTCGTTATTTAACAAGCCGACTCGCGAGCCGGCTCGTTAGTAAACGAGCCAAGCTTGAGCTAGACCATGCTCAGCTTGATAAGCCCGTGAGCTAGCTTAACTAGGTGACTTATTGAGCTAAGCTCGCGAGCTGGCTTGTTTAGAGCTAGTGAAAGGATTAATTACTCTTCTAAACATGAACATTATCTTGTTAATACGGATGTATATGGAAGTTAGCTGTTATTTTTAGTTTATAGTGTTATTTTTATCCTTTAAATTCTTATGTTTACACATTTTTCCAGCAAGAATGATTTCAAATCGAGCTCATCTTGAGCCGAGCTTGTACTCAGCTTGACAAGCTGCGTTAATGAGCATTTACCAAGCTCTACTGAGTCGAGCTCAAGCTAGATTATTTTTATTCGAGCCGAGCTCGAGCTGGATTATCAAAATTCGAGTTCGAGCTGAAAAATTTAATAACGAATCGAGCTCAAGCTAAGCAAAAACTCGACTCGACTTGGCTCGTTTGCAGCCCTATCGTACCACCCTGATGTGGATGGTAGACGACAAGTTTTACCATCCACACAACGACATGGTTTAGTAATCCTTGCACATGTGCAGTAGAGTATAAGGATGTCAATTTAGTTTGGTTTACCGGACCATTAAGTATGGAACATCAAAAACCAAAATGGTGAGACGTCTAATGAGTTTTCGGTTAATCAATAACCAATAAGGCTCTTAATGTTTTTGGTTTGGTTTTGGCTGAATCAAAATACCAAAAACCAAATTCATAATTATGGAAAAGTTCAAAAATGGAACCAGAAAAGATAACAAGAAGTATGAAGATAGGAAACAAGTATACTACACATAAATTGGTGACAACCTTAATATAATTGGAGTGTTAACGATTTCTTTTCTGTTCTTTATTGATTTTCGTGCCTAACCAGAACCAAAACCATTAAAATGTAAGACAGTTTACAACAAAAAAAATAAAAGAGTTACCCTTCTTTATCGATTCACGATTTGCTTAAAATCAAATTGACAACAACCCAAGTCAAGCACAAACAAAATAAACGACAACGAACCACCAGGAAATGTACGTAATCTATTCGTACCGTATCTAGGGGCCAGACATCTAAGGTTGAATGCCAGCACGACAACACCATAAGCCACAGCTTCGTCAGGGTTGACACCTCTGTTAGGTTCCTTCCTATCGAGCATCTCCATCAGCATCTCCCTCAACCTCGAAACCCTAGTGCTCCCTCCGACGAGCACGATCTCCTCGATCTGGCCCTTCTTCAGCTTCGCGAACTCCAGCGTCGCCCTCACCACCTTCATCGTCTTCTTAAACAGATCCAGATTCAACTCATCGAATTTCGCCCTCGTCAGGGACTCCGAGAAATCCTTTCCTTGGAAGAGGGAATCGATCTCGACCTTCACCTGGCTCTGGCAACTCAACACCCTCTTCGCCCTCTCGCATTCCTTCCTAAGCCTCCCCAGAGTCCGACAGTCCAAACCATCCTCCACGCTGTTCTTCCTCTTGATTAGCTTCATGAAGTAATCCAACACTCTCTGGTCGAAATCTCCGCCGCCGAGGTGAGTGTCCCCGCCGGTGGTGAGGACGCGGAACAACTGGCTGCCGTCTACTTCCAGTACGTTGACGTCGAACGTGCCGCCGCCCAGATCGTACACCAGGATCTTGCTCTTGCCCTTCTTCCTCTTATTTCTGTTGTTGTTAAGGCCGTAGGCGATGGCAGCGACGGTCGGCTCGTTGATGATTCGGAGGACGTCGAGCCCAGCGATTGTTCTAGCGTCCTTCGTGGCTTGTCTCTGCATGTCCTTGAAGTAGGCCGAGACAGTGATGACTGCGCCGGCAACCGGCTTTCTGAGGTAAGATTCTTCGGTTTCCTTCATTTTTCTAAGGATCATGGCGCTGATCTCTTCCGGGCTGAAGGTTTTGTTGACTTCTTCTTCTCCGCTGGCGGTTGATATTTCGACGTAAGGTTTTCCGCCGCAGTTGACTACAAGGTAAGGAAGGTAGCGGAGGTCGCGCTAGAGGTCTGGGTCGTTGAATTTTTTACCGATGAGGCGCTTGGCATCGAAGATGGTGCGGCGGGGGTTGAGGGCCGCCTGGTTCTTGGCGGCTTCGTCGACGAGGCGGTTCGAATTGGTGAAGGCGACGGAGGAAGGGGTGGTGCGGTTTCCTTGGTCGTTGACGATGATCTCCGCCTTGCCGTTTCGAGAGACGACCACGCAGGAGAAGGTCGTTCCGAGGTCGATTCCGATCACCTCGCCGGTTTTTTTTTTCTCCGCCGGAGCCATTTGTTGAAGGGTTTGATACGGTGGGCGCGCAGCGGTTGTGTAGTTTGAGGAGAGGCTGGTGGGAGACTGCCTGTTGGTTTTAGGTTATTTCGCCTCATCATTTTCTTTCCTCGACTAAGAGTGTAATAGTTAATTAATTAATTAATCTAGAGAATTACCAGGAGTAGATATCAACCTCTTCTTCTGCAGATTCAGAAGAAGCTCGCTCTTTGGAAAGCTTAGCGTCTTTCCCTAGCCGCAAGGCTGACTGTGGCTCAGTTTGTCTCTCTTTCTATTCCCACTTACTCTATGCAGACTGAGCTGATTCCCATGAATGTTTGTAAGTCTATTGATAAGATTAACAGGGAGTTCATCTGGGGGGAGAGCGAGTAACAAGGAAGAATGCATCTGGTGGCCTGGGAGAAGCTTTCCGAGCCCAAAAGCCAAGGTGGAGCAGGCCTCCGGCCTCTGCGTCAGGCGAATCTGGCCCTCCTAGCCAAAGCGGGTTGGCGTTTGCTGCAAGAGAAGGACACTCTCTGGACTCTGCTCGTTCGAACAAAGTATGGGCGTCAGAGAGAAGGGCTTGATATCCTTCGGCCTAGTCAGGGAAGTTCCTTTGCCTGGAGAAGCTTTACCAAAGCTTCTGACTTGCTTCGACAAGGATGTGCGTAGAATATACATAATGGGAAGGATACTAAGTTTTGGCGTGATATTTAGTTGTCGGAGGTTCTGCTTGTGGAGCTGGCGCTTGCGCCGGTGCCGGAAGAGATGCTGGCCGAGCCTGTGGCTTCTTACCTTGAGGATGATGGAAGCTAGGATTTGGATCGTTTGTACACCTGGCTACCGATGGAAATTCTTCATAAACTCACCGCGATGGCAGTGGATCCCGTCAGTACCGAGAAGGACACTTTGTTTTGGACAGGCTCCTCCAACGACGTGTTCTCCACGAAGTCGGCTTATCTCTTGGCGAACCCTCCCCAAAGCGACCCTCGACAAAAGTTTTGGAAGCAGATTTGGAGTCTCTCTGTTCCGGAGCGGATTCGGTGCTTTGCGTGGTTGGTGTCCCTGGGCAAGATAGCGACCAACTAGTTGCGTGTGTCGAGGAATTGTGCCACGTCGGCTGACTGCTACCGCTGCAATGGGACGCCAGAAACTATCAGCCATGTTCTCCGCGATTGCCTGATGGCGATGTTCCTCTGGAGCAAGCGCGTCCCTGCGGCTGATCAGCAGGACTTCTTCTCCTTGACCATGGAGGCCTGGCTTTGCATGAACCTACTTAAAGAGGATGCTTTGGCATCGGGAATGAACTGGAATGCCTTCTTCAGTGTGGCGATCTGGTTGTTGTGGAAAAACATATGTTTGGGATGCTTCAGGGGAGTCTCTGCAACTCTTTTGGCCCCCTCCCTTGCACACTCGATCCTTCACAAGGAGGACCTGTGGCACAAGTCTTGGTGTGCTCCCACGCTTGCCCTTGGAAAGCCTCATCGCGAAATTACTCGAAGGGTGGAGCGTATTCAGTAGCTTGCCCCTCCTAAAGGGTGGCTGAAACTCAACGTGGACGGGGCCTCGGCCGGAAACCCCGGAGTGGCAGGAGTTGGTGGGCTGATCCGCGATGAGCACGATAAGTTGATCACCGGCTTTGTGGCCACGATTGGGGAGTCCTCGGCGGTGTTGGCAGAGTTATGGGCCATCTTCCATGGCCTTAACATAGCGTGGCGGCACAGGCGTGTTAACTTGATTGTTGAGTCTGACTCGCAGCAGGCTATTCAGTTGATTAAGGATCGACAGGACCCTATTCACCCTCACGCTGCGTTGGTGAATTCGATCCGGCGGCGTATAGAGCAGGATTGGTTGATTAACATTGTTCACACATACCGGGAAGTGAATAGAGCCGCGAACTGGCTCTCGAAGCACAGTCTCGTCTATCCCTACGATATGCATGAACTTGTTAGTCCTCCTACCGAGCTTGGTAGAGTGCTTCAAGAGGATAGTCAGGGGATGTCGTTTGAGCGCCGAGTTGTGGTGCCCCCGAGATTTAGTTCCTCTCTCTTTCACCTACCTCCTGTTGTCTTCTTTTTCTTGGCGTTAGCCTCCATTAATGCAAAAAAAAAAAAAAAAATCTAGAGAATAGTAATGAATTGGGGTGAAAAATTCATGATAAGGGAAACCCTAGGGTTATTTGGGAGGTAGAAAGGAAGGCAGGATTACTGCGAATATGGATTAATATACTACTTCATTTGATAAACAATAGATAAGTTATGGTGCGTTCATCGCCAAATATGTAACTATGTAAGCATATGTTACTCAATCTATACATATTTACTTGTATTTCCTCCCTTATTCTTACATCAATACATACATTTCATAATGACTCAAGTAGGGTGATGATCGGTATGTATGGTCAAACAATTGCAATCGCGACAACTGCGGTTAATTTTTGTTTGTGGTGCTGTAGAAATCAAAGGCAAAAATGATATTGCTGGATGGCCCAATCACGGTATGATTGTCGGTATAAGAATGTGATTAGAAATCGAACTTATTTTTGTTTGGTATGTGATTATAATTAAAGAAACAACTTTAAGGTGGAACATTTAACAAAGGCAATAGTTTATGCGCTTGGTTCGTTTCACTTTTGTAGTTTTGTTTCGTCATTTTAAGATGACAAACTTCGTGCATAGGTCAATCACTTTTTTTAAGTTTATATGAGGGACGGGATACGGTGACAACCTCTAAGGGGTTGTCAGATTCACAACAAAGGGTATTTGGGGTATGGAAAAAAGGAATATATTAATTACCTTTTGTGTATTAATTATATTGGGAATTAAAAACCCATATTAAATACAATTTTTTTTGAAATTTAAATCGTATACATTAATATCTCTATCTATCTCTCTCTTCCTTTCTCCAACGGCCACTTCGCATCGACAATTGTAAGATATGAATCTCCAAAGTAGGCACCATGAAACTGTTTTTACATTGAAACAACCGATGAGGTCGACCTAATCCTAAATGAGGTCGACCTGATCCTAAATGAGGTCGACCTGATCCTAACTGAGGTCGACCGAAATGTGCAAGTCACCGTGATATGCATGTCACCGTAGGCACACCCATATATTCATCAACGAAGTTTTAAATATTTCTCGAACCACTTTAATTTTTTTTATTAAGGATAAACATGATATTTGATATAAAATTAAATTTTGTATTTTAATTGAATGTTAATAATCAGAGTTACCAAACAATAAACATTTTAAAATCTATTTTCAACTATCCGAAGAGTTAGAATCTTTAGATTGTTGACAATCTGTAGATTTAAACTCATATTCTCCAAACGACCCCTCTATTGTTTTAGAGCTTCAACATCTTCAATGCAATTGCAAAACAATTGTAAAAAGTAATTATATTTGTACGATCTTTATTGTTACCTCAAAAAATTTCAATTTAAATCACATTGCTTTCATTCACCTACATCAATGCAATTAATTTGTAATTACAATAGATTTTTAATAAAATTTATAAACATGAAAACTTTAATAATACAAATAATAAATTATTTAGTAATAAAAAGATGATGTGGCTTGCGACCATAATCGCATTAGATGTGTGATGTGGTCACTCTCCGTCTAACTCCGTTAACTTTTGCTTACGTGGCGACCAACTCTAAAAGTTTACCATTAAATGTGTGACGTGGCAATTTAAAAATAATAAAACTAAATTTTTATTTAAACCAATTTATTTATTTCCATTTTATATAAACTATCAGCCCTAACTTTCGTTATATTATTTGCGTCAGCCGTCTTCGTCCCAGTTCCGGCCTACATCCCGTCACTTCCCACCTCAGACTGTCAGACATCCGTCGCTGCATTGGTTTGCTATGATATGTCGTTGTTTTCTTGGTTTCTTCAATCAATTTTCCTCGTTGGGATGAGTTCTCATTTCTTCGTCCATTCGGAAGGAAGTGAAGGGATTAAGATTTGAATAGCGGGTGTTTCTACTGGATTTTTAAAAGTCGGGTGAACAAACCACTCGCAATTCTTAACCGCGTTTGTTTTTCTCACTGGAGGAAGGTCGACCGCTACGAGAGGGGAAAGTCGCAAGAAGCAGCCAGCAACGGAAACAATGGTGTGACAGCACGGGATCCTATTCTCAAAGCAGGTCCCCTGCTGCTCCGTTTAATTGTCGTGAACCTGTCCTCAAAAACCCTAACCGTCGCCCTCACAGATTACTCGGATACAGTTTGCCCCCCAATTTTCGGCGCGGTAACTCTCAACACCTCGCTACTCTCTCCTTCCCAGCCCAATTCTGCCGCCCTTCAGAACCTGATCTTGTTCTACGGTTGCCCGTGGATTGGTGCGGAACAATTCCGGAGAGGAGGCGATGGTAAAGGAGATTTTCGGTCTGTGGGAAGGAAGCCCAACATTGGAAGCGGCAACAACGACGAGGTATGCTGCCGGCGGGGTATTGGTATTGGGGATTAGAAGAAATTAGGGTTTTTTATTTATTTAAAATAAAAGTGATAATGAGGTGTAAATGAGATGGTAATTTTAAAATTTTAATTTTATTATTTATAAATTTCCACGCACATATTTAACGATAAACTCTTAGAGTAGATCGCCACGTAAGCAAAAGTTAGCGTAGTTGGACAATGAGTGATCAAACATGAACGGTTTCAGTAAACTGAAGTACCACCAATGGATTTGAATATTTCTAGTGACCAAACTTGAACGTTTTTTTTTATCTCAGTGATCAACCATGCAATTAACCCTTTTAAATACATTGACTTTTATAACTAATAATTAAAGGATAAATACCACATTTGGTAACTGGAATTAATAAATCATGTCATGTTTAGTCACTAGAAAATATTAATATCAATTTTGGTCACTCGAATTGCTGAAACATGTCACATTTAGTCACTCTCCCGTTAGTTTCCGTCCAACTCTATTAATGGAGTTGGACGGAAACTAACGGGAGAGTGACTAAATGTGACATGTTTCAGTAATTCTAGTGACTAAATGAGA